GTGTTAAATACTGTTTTCAGGATCCCTTTGGTGATGTCATTAAGAAAATCATGAATGCCATTCATGCTCATGCTCAGCTGAGCCCCACCTGCGACCTCGGCTCTCAGAATTATGAACAGTGGGTTGTTCAAAAAGAGCGAAACGGTGAGCACAAGTTTTTTTGCTCATCCTCAGGGATACTGACCCTTTGTCCAGATTCCCTATTTAAAAAGCAAACTCACTTGCTTGAGGGGATCTAAAACCTTTTCTCGATCCATTTTAGCTGCAACAATGGAAGATCAGAAAGTGCGTGTCTGCGCAGAGCACCTTCGGCAGTACAGCGAGGGCCTGAATCTCAGCAACACCATTCGCATGTGTGATGCCTTCAATTTCCTGAACAAATACCACGAGGAAGAGATAAAAAGAAAAACAACACCAGACGAGGAGCACAAAATTCAAATCACAGCAACTGAGAGATTCCTCTTCAATTTGTTTAAAGGTATTGTACAGTAGTGTGGGGCAAAAGATCCAACGACTTGGTGTGCTAACAAGAAAATTTAAACAAAGTTGTCCTTGACTTTATTGTTGTTACCAATACTGTTCTGCATGCTTAGTCGCTTAGCTGGTTTGCTTAGCTATGCATAAAGATTGGAAATGGGGGAAATGGCTCACTAACCAGAACCTCTTAAATTCACTAATTAACATATAATGTCTTAATCCATACAGTACAGATATACGCAGAGTTATGTGATGGATTATTTCTTGTTCAGGACCAACAAATGAGCGTTTTAATTAAAAGTTCTATTAGGTGATTTGTGGTTACGCCCTTTTCCTGCTTCTTTGCTAAGTTGGGCTAACCAGTTGCTTGCTGTTGCCCTATATTTACCAGGCAGACCCAAGAGTGGCATTGATCTTCTCTTCTAACTCGGCGAGAGAGCAAATAAGCCTAGCTCCCATGATGTCGAATGATTTCTTGAACCTTTAAAATGACGCAAAGAATCGACCTCAATTCTTTGAAATTTATGCCTTGCAGACAACAAGGAAGAGTTGCAGAGGCTCGCAGAGAATCCAGAGTATGAAAATGGCAGCCTGTCAAAACTAAGATCTAAAATTCTGCAAGAGTTCAGCACCAGGGAGGAGGCCAGAGGGATAATTTTCACCAAAACACGGCGCAGCGCCATTGCTCTGAGTCAGTGGATTCAGGAAAACCCTAAGTTTGCTGACATTGGCGTGAAAGCATCATATGTTATCGGAGGAGGAGACCAGAGTGTTGTCAAACCAATGACCTCTGTGAGTGCACATTGCATTTGCTTCAAGCATCGTACGCACTTCGAATCCAATTTACACTTCCTTAAATCTTCTTTATTCAAATTTGTGTTAATCAGGCAGAGCAAAGGGATGTGTTGGCCAAATTCCACAATGGTGAAGTGAACTTGCTGATTGCAACCACGGTGGCAGAGGAAGGTTTGGACATCCCAGCGTGTAATTTTGTTATCCGATATGGCCTTGTGACCAATGAGATAGCTATGACTCAGGTCAGTGATGCCAAATGAGTAATGACTTGTTGCCGTGTTTTAATGATTAACACTTCTATGTATATATAATAATTAAGGCACCATTATACTGTGTAAGAGCTGTATTAAAGTGGTTGCTTACAATTGCAGGCTCAAGGCCGAGGAAGAGCAGAGGACAGCAGCTACACTCTGGTCGACGTGAAGAACTCTGGGGTGGCTGAAAAGGAGTGTGTCAATGAGTACCGCTTGAAAATGATGAACAAAGCCATTGAAAAAATCAGAGCTTTAAAACAAGCGGACTATGACAAAAGGGTACGTTTACATCCAACTTTCTTTTGTCAGTTAAACTGAGACCCACATTTCTGTGTTCACAGTGATTTTTCTTCCTTTTGTCAGATCTTAGAGTTTCAGATACAGGCTATAATGGAGGAGAGGGTGAGGATGGTAAAGAAGAAGCAGAAAGGCATAAAGACAGAGAACCCGTCCAATGTGAAGTTTAGCTGCAGAGGCTGCAGCAAACATGTCTGCAGTGGCGAGGACATCGAGATCATCGAAAACATGCACAGAGTCAATGTTACAACACAGTTTAGGTAGGAATTACAACCCCCTTTTACATTCTTCTGAACTTTTTGTTCAGTGTTTGTTTACATTGTGTTTGTTGACATATAAACTTAATGCCAGAGTTGCAATGATGCTCAGATGATGAATTATACCCAGCTTGCTTAGCAAAGTCTTCCAAAGTCAAATACAATACTTACTGTTACTTTTTTACAGCAACCTTTTCATTCAGAGAGAAAATACTTCACTTCAAGAGCGACTTCTAGATTACGAGACCAATGGCTTCATAGCATGCAAAGACTGTGGGCAGGTAAATGTCTTTCAGGATTTTCAGTTGGAATTGTTTAGAGAAAACCAGCAGATCATCTAAAACTTAAAGGAATCGTTCAACATTTTGGGAAATTCACTTATTTGCTTTCTTGCAGAGGGCTAAGTGAGAGGATTGAGACCACTCTGAACCTAAGCCATGTAGTTACATGCAGCATGGGATCATTCATAGGGACTAGTTTCTATTCTGGTTTGCACATGTCGGGAATATGGAAAAAGTAGGAAGTGAGTCAAAGCTAGTCATCAACTGTAAAACAAGTTCAAGATGGGGGAGAAAATTCCTCATATGAGAAGTTTTCATTTAAGGCCGTGACTCACTCCCACATTATGTTTTCTCCCAAATTAAATTTTAGCAGAATGCACAAATGGCATAAGATAAGATATACCAGGGGTCGGCAAATAAGTCTGGCATCGGGCCAAATTTTTTTCAAGTCAATTGTCAGTTGACTATTTATATTTCAACATTTATTGTGTGTGCAATTAGTTCAGTTTGTACTGCATAGGACTCCCGTTCGGAGAGTTGTGTGTTCAATCCTCATGTGCTGAACAAGTATTTATTTATTCCTTTTTCAAAAAATTTATTGTGTAGAGATCATATTACATATTACAATTAAGCATGAGCAGGGGTGTACACATCACAGCAATTAGTCTACATCAACCAATGGACGCTTATTTTCATGTCCCCAGTATCTCCAGGCAGAGCAAATTCCTTCTTTTCTTATTCAGGGGAATTCATCTCACCTTTTTCAGTGGTTTTTTCAGAGGTGTGTCAAGTAAGCCAGATACTCTTGAATTTCCTTCAGAACCTTTCAAAGTAAAAGCTCTCACTTAAAGATGAGGTAAAGTACTGCTGCAAATATGTTCTCGTGCTTTTATTTTGTAGGCAAAATCACTTAAGAGGAAGTGATTAGATGAGTAACTTTTGCTGTCATGACTGAGATCTGTTTAAGCACCAGCTTTTTTTTTTTTTTTATCAAAGTAATCTGGCCATGGGCCGCGGGCCGCCAATTGCCGGCCACTGAGATATACCTTCATTAATCTCCCATAGGGGAAATTCAGTTAGACATAGCAGCACAGAGGAATTTAAAAGAACAGATACAATAAAAGTAGAATCAGTAACATTCTACGTAGATGTATAAATATATACACACTGTTTACACACTATATAGGCCTATAATCGATAAACAATAATTATTTACAACCAGATAAATGTCAGAAATATAATCAAAAATAGAGTTTGTCAGTTGGGTGATGTGGCATTGTGGATGGTCCGGGGCTGAATGAGTCTGTGGGTGAAGGTGATCCTGAGCTGCCTCAGCTCAGCAAGTGAGCTAGTCTTCCTCACCAGCTTGCCCGGTTTTCCACCTCCCCAGCACACAGCAGCAAAGAAGATGACACGGGCTAGTACTATAAATCTTAGCACTCCTTCGTGTTATTATTGAACAAGCCTCTGCTTAGTCGACACACAGGCCTTCATGTACCACCTAATAACCCCTTTCATGTTTTAACCTCTGATTTTGGTTGCAGAGATGGGGTTCCATGATGCTGTACCGTGGGATCGACTGCCCCTGCCTCCACGTGAAAAACTTTGTGGTGACAGTCAACGGAAAGAAGATTAGCAAATGCACCAAGTGGAGCGAGCTTCCCGTCAAGTTTTCCGACTTCGACTATGCTGAACATGCGAGCCAGGTGACACAGGCCTCAGATGACGAAGAAACAGAATCGATGACTTCCTAGACTCACTAATAATCACGTGAACAGTGTCCTCTGTTGTATTCTTATCATAACTAAATGGCTTGCACTGCATACAGTAGATTACTGTACTGTACACTGGTAAATGCAATGCTTCCTTTCATCATGATAACTTGAGTCACTGAAGGTGGTGGATTTCAGCGTGCAAACATTGTCCAGATCATGCACAGTATTTTTTGCTTTTCATTGGTGAAAGGTTTATTTCATAAATATGTATGGCTGTCAGAAATAAGAATTTGCCCTGGAATTGTTAGTGTATTGGGTATTATCTGTTAAATTTACTGCTGAAATTCTGTAACAATCATAAATGTATAAGTGTGCATCACTCACACAAAATGAACTGGAGGGAATGACTAATAAATAATAATAAATGATTTTCCCCTCAAATCCCTGTGGTCTCTTGATATGGGAGCCACTGAGCCTGTGATAGCCCCTCAGAGGCCACCTGTCAACACACATGCAGACACACAGGTGCTGGAGATTATCCATTAAATCCAAAACGTTCATGAGTCATGACTGTTGAGCCAGTCAGAGCTGCTATTTTTAGAGAGATTTTTTAAGAATTATTTTGGCATACATATACATAACAATCACATTGATTGCCTGGGGCATGCACAAACATGCAAGTTGTAGCCTAAGCCAGTGTTATTTGGCCATATTAGTATGTTTTCCTGCATTTCTATTGAATCCACAACGTAATAAAATGTGCCCATTCATAGAGAGTGAGAAAAACAACAACACTGTTAATTGTGGTTTATTTTCCCAAAAATGAAAAAGCACATTTTGAATTGAACTGGGAGGTAAAGCTCTGGCCGACTTCTGCTTTCTCACATTTGTGGAGCGAGTGACTTGCAACCTTGGTGAAAAAGCCACTTCCTAAATACTCAGCAAGTTGTGCGCTCTTGGAAAGTTGGGCAGGCTGCTGACTTAAGGGAGGCATCTCTTGTCTGGTGTCGGATGCTTCTCAGGAATGCAGCAGGACGTGTGAGAAGCCTGCTTCTGCTTAAGTAGGACAAGATCAGTTTTCTTATGTTGCCATATGTAGTTTAAATCTATTGTTGCGGGGGGTTCTTTGTAGGGAGAGTATGTTATCCAGGCTGCTTGTCCAAGAAGTCACTTTAAACTTCACATCATCGACCTACAAGGATTATTAGGATAAGGAAAAGGCTGAGATCTTCACGGCGACTTCTTCTGCACTATGGTCAGTAATCGATTTACCAGCTTCAGTAGTGAGGGGGAAAGTTGTAAAATACAAAGAAAAACACTTGTGAACGCATGATCACACGTAGTTCACAGTTGGGGTGAATGAATAGACTAACAGTACGAGAACCTGCAGCGTCAGCTTGTGTTGTGTGATTTCAGAGGATGTTTGTGTAACTTTTGTGTCACCTTTCGCAGGGCTGCAGCAAGGTGCTGTGGGGGGTGGTGGGGGCGGCTGTCGTCATCACGTTAATAACGATCACAGCGGTTTATTTCAGCAGTAAGTTATACAGCTCAGGCCTCTCTGTGCATTTCTCTCCCTGTGCGTCTTTGCTTCATGTTCAGTATAACCGCTTGTGTAACTCTAAAGCATTTAACATTTTTATGTGCTTGATTGGTTAATTTCAAGCAGACTTTTTTTCTGTGATGAGTAGCCTATAGTGTAGGCTACTTTTTTGCTGTGTAAATGTGTGCTTATTATTTATTTTTTGTTTGATTTCTTTCCTTAACAAAACTTGTACAGGAAGAATCAACGATATGATTCATGAATTGCTCTTGTGTGGACTACCAGTGTAATAGCATGCTGCTGGGAAAACAATCAATTCAAATAGCGCCACCGTGTGACGATAGATGATGTTTCATTTCCGACATAACAGCAACATTTGTCTGATATTGTTATATTCAGCATGTCAACAAAGTTAATGCAGCATTGTGCATCATTTCAGAATCTCAAGGTATCAAAAGACCACTCACCCTTGAAGATTACTTCAACGACACCATTAGGTGGAGATCCTACAATCTGTATTGGATATCAGGTATCACCTCTCTTACACAGGTTGTTCTTTTGGGCAAGAGCATATATAAATATTCATGTTGTGTACAAATCTCAATTTTTTGTTGTCTTTTATCTCTGCAGACAAGGAGTATCTGCATAAAACAAGAGATGGGGATGTCATGTTCCACAATGCCGAAACACAAGAGGAGTCAATATATTTGAAAAATTCAGTCTTTGTAATATACATATTTTTTTCAAATATGGAAATGTTGTTATTGTTATAACAATTAAACAAAAAAATCCAAGTCTGAATAATTACTCATATAAACTAATATTTCCATAATAATTTTCATTGTAGGCAAAAGTGGATGCCACAGATTATATGTTGTCAGGTGATCATAAGTACATCGCTTTTGAAAGCAATTTCTCAAAGGTGAGAAACTCCAGTGAATGTTCCCAGTTAGCTTTGTGTATCTGTTTTTTACAGTAGTTCAAGTTTCCCAACAGTTCACTGTAAATGTTACAATAAGCCTTATAACCAGTGGTTGAATATAATTAAGTACATTTACTCATTGCACTTAAGTACAATTTTGACATACATGTACTTTTTTTTATTTACTATTATTATTAGATATTTATTTAAATACCATGATATGCTACTTCCCCATGACCCTGTACACAGGATAAGCAGTTGACAATGGATGGATGGATGGATATGCTACTTTATACTTCTACTTCACAACATTTCAGAGAGAGATATTGTACTTTTTACTTCTCTACATTTATTTAAGAGCTGTAGCTGCTAGTTGTTTTTCAAATTAAGATTTTACATATGAAATACATGGTCAGTTTGTAAAAGATTATCCATTGTTACAAATGAAACTACCAAAATTATATGAAGTAGTTCAAATTAGCTCCACCTTGACCAGCAGCAACATTAAAGTACAGCTTTCATATTAATACATCTAAAATATGGTTCAACAATATAAGAGTTTAACAATGACAGCACCCACTATGAGTACTTTTACATTTGATAATTTAAGTATCCTAGATTTTGTTGCTGATACTTGTGTGTTTTTACTTAAGTGAATGATTTGAATACTTCTTCCACCACTGCTGATAACAAAAGTCTGAAAACAAGTCTTGTGTTTGCAATCCAACAGCAATGGAGACATTCCTACACCGCCTCTTACTCCCTCTATGAAAAGGAGAGTTCGTAAGTGGCCATGTGTTATTTTGATAGTATCATAAACTGCAGGATTTCACTTCATTTCACATTCATTTCAACTCAAACTAAATAAATAAATAATAAAATGTTTTTTAGAGTGACAAGTCAGACTAACAGGATGTGATTTACTTGGTATGACCCCACATTCTTTTCATTTTTCTTTCCAGAACATTTATTATGCCTTCTAATCTTCCAACCACTGTGCAGTACTTTTCCTGGGCCCCAACAGGAAGCAAATATGTAAGTTTGCACGTTATCATGTATTCTTGTCTTCACATTCAGTTGAAGGGAACAATATTGCAGCTACTTGGTATGTGAGGCAATATGGGACTCTTTGCATTTTATTTAACTATCAGGTCTTGCAAGACTAGTGTAGAAAGTGCATCTTATGAAGTAAACTAATGAATCTAAGTATGGATTTGTAAAATATGTGTAATTAAAATAATCAAAAAATAAACTAAACTAACTAAAACTACAATTTGTTTTTCAGGCCTTCATCTCAGACTTCAACATTTTTCTCACATCCAATGCCACTGCTGAACCTGTGCAGGTGACCCACAATGGGGAATACAATAAAATCCTTAATGGTGTCCCTGACTGGGTTTATGAAGGTAAGTAACGTTCACTTTTTAAGAGGTGTGCATCTGTATCTCTAAATGATAGATAGCTACAGAGATTTTTTTTTCCCCCATCATTTTCAGAGGAAGTGTTTGCATCAAACGGGGCAATATGGTGGTCATCAACTGGAAAATTCTTGGCTTATGCAGAATTTAATGATACAGATGTTCACAAAGTGGAGTTCTCTTGGTATGGATCTGAGCAGTATCCCAAAACAGTGGCTGTTCCATACCCAAAGGTGCTTTTCTCAAACATGGTTGCATGCAATATTCTGCACTGAGTGTCAAAATTTATTTATACAACACAAATGATTAGGGCAGCTCTCACTTTACATTGTCTACTTCATGGTTTATCTTCCTCACACTCTCATGATATATAGTTATTTATCAAGAATGTTACATTTGATTGTATTTGGTGCAGGCTGGATCGAATCTTACCACGGTGAAACTGTTTGTGATTGACACCACAAATCCGTCTCGCCGCACTCAGGTGGCCGCCCCCGCTTCTGTTGCTTCTAGGTCTGTATATTCTTTTGTTTCTAGCATCACTTGAATCAAACTGCATTGTAAACAGTAGCAAATATGAGATCCTCATGGTCTGTCTCATGTGAAAACCATGTCACTTTCTGTTGCCTTTTGCTCAGTGATCACATATTGTGCTCAGTGACCTGGGTTACAGATGAACGCGTCGCTGTGGAGTGGCTCACGAGAAAACAAAATTACGTGGTCGTACAGATCTATGACTTTGATGGAAGCAACTGGAAAGAAAAACAGGTAGCTGTCACTTCTCTGGTTGGTTCAGGCAATCGTGAGGATCATAACGTGTGTAATGATGTCATGATCATGTGAGTAAATGCCAATTAACTGCAATAAATGTCTCTACTCTCTATAGAAATTTGAGCAAACAAGCAAGACAGGCTGGATCGGCCATGTAAGTTTCTGAAAAAGATACTACCATTGACTGATGAATGCCAATTTATTGTTTGATTTTGTGTTTGACTGTAAAATATGACCTTTTTTCAGTACATGCCCTTACCACTTTTCTTTGCTGAAGATAAACTCAGTTTCTATAAAGTGATGAGCAACACACAGGGCTACAAACATATTCATTATGTGAAAGACGTAAGTGTTTTTCAATTATATTTATGAATAATAAACAGCATAGTGGCTTTCATCACATCTTTGGTGTTGAGTTTTATATTCACAAAGGGCATTTTCTTAAGGGCAAAGCAACACCTATTACCTCTGGAAAGTGGGAAGTCATCTTCATATCCAAATTAACAAAAGAGGCCATGTGAGTGTCTGGGGAAAACTACACAAACTTCAAAGATTATTAGAAAGTAGATAAATGTAAATCTGACTTGTCTCATGAAATTATCTTCTACAGATATTATGTGAGTAATGAGTACCAAGGAATACCCGTAAAGAGGAATCTTTACAAGTAAGGAATTCTTCTGACCTGTCTGATAGCTAAACTAATTGGTTTTATTGCTTATTTCTTCTGTCTTTTATTTTTGCAGCATTTTTTGCTACACATATTAGTTTTTCTTTTGTATCAGTTAATGTCCATACGTGTACGCATTCATTGACCCCTAGGAAGACTGACAAACACATTAGCCGAAGCTAATTGGGATCCTATAAACAACAAACAAGAGCACACATTCTTACAACATCCCCATGAAATGAATGTCATAACTGTTATAACAAGTTGCTACTGGTTTGTTCATCAGGGTTGTGATTGGAAGCAGCCCCTCTGCCCCCCAGTGCCTCACCTGCGGCCAGTATAAGGACAGGTGTCAGTACAACTCTGCTTACTTCAGCTTTAACGCCTCTTACTACCGAATGGACTGCTATGGTCAGTTACCCATCCACATTTCCTCTTACGCAATAACTCATCCATGGCCAATGTGTTGGGATTATCTGTGGTGGAGAGCATCTGTGAACAATATTCTGAGCTGTTTGTGCATTTTCTATCTTTGTTTTTACCAGGACCTGGGTTGCCCCTCTACATACTCATGGACAACAGGGGCCAAGGGGCAGGTCTGTACGCTTATGAAATGTATTAAGCCAAAGCCCATTGCTGAATGATTTATTGCAATTGCATCATTTTACAGTAAATTCATATTATCATATCGCCTTGTGTACCATACAAATATGCACAGATTGTATATGTATATTATTAGTACAGTTCTGTACTTGTACTGCCACTTGTTACACATGATTGATTGCACACCAGTTCATCAAGCTCTGTTCTGGTAATCTAAAAATAATTACAAGTCTTCCCACAGTGTCAGATATACAAAAGTATATACCATAATACGTTATATTACATCTGCTCTGTACTTTCCACACTGATTCTTACTTCTGCTGGTCAGGGTTTCACCCCCACACCACCCCCCAAATCAAATAGTATTTTGTTGTTATTGTTCATATTTTCACACATAGAAATGTTCATAAAGTGTGAAAATGCACATTTGCAAACCATACTAGATGTTTCTTTGTTGTGTTGGCATGTAGCCAGCAGATGGAGAACACTCTGAAGGGGACGCTCAGAATTTTTTATTAGCTGGATATTTGACATTTTGTATAGCCAACTGTGCATTTACACTGTTTGTAAGCACATGTACAGTTCTGTATAGATTGACATGCAGATGCAAAACAATAACTTAGACTATGAAAAAAAACTTTGATCATGGGGGTCCCAAGGATGGTGATGATTATTACACAAAACAAATCAGAAAGGTTAAAGTTATTAAAGGTTCTGAACAGTTTTTGATCTAAAAGTATATATGTTTTTGATATTTATATTAGCATTTGTGCAGCAGAATTTCCATTATGATAATAATTGTTGTTCACTTATCTTTTTTTCAGAGCTCTCCGTTCTTGAAGACAACAAGTTACTGGAAAATATTCTGTCAGAATTCCAAATGCCAACAATGCAGTATGGCACCCTAAAGATTGCAGGATTTGGTGAGACAATGCATGTTTAAGATCCCTACCAGAGTCTTATATATAGAAAGACATATATAGAAATACTACACACAGAAAAAAAAACTTTCCTCAAAAACAAAAACGATGAATATAAAAATATGTTTCAGTTCAAAAGTTTAATGACTAGACACAAAATGTCTCCTACTTCACTTTAAAATCCATTCTCAGTGTTTGTGCACTGGGGGTTTCCATGTCACACTTGCACAAGCTGCATATTGGACAAGGACTGGTTTCCACACTGGTTGTGATGTCACAAAATCCTGCTTGTATGTTCATGTGTGAAACTGAGGTTTAAGGAGAGAACGGGGAAACTTTCCCCCTCTGTGTGAAAGCGACCAAGAAAACAGTCGAATGGTTAATTTTTATGTGAGGTTACAACCTGTTCACAAAGTCTAAAAAAGTTTAATTTTAATTAAAAAATATGTGTAGCTCTGTTAAATTTAGATACATTTTATCATGTAGGGAGCTTCAATCTCCCTTTTCGACTTTGAGCATGGAATGTAAGTGGTGGATTTGTTAGTTATTAATGTAAGTAAAGACATCTGAGGTGTGAGACATTTTGTAATGATGCCTTTTTTGCCAACAGATCTTTGGTATCAAATGATGTTACCACCAAATTTCAAGAAGTCTAAAAAATATCCTCTTCTTATTGATGTGTAAGTGAACAACACTCCTCAGCACTCCATCCCAATATAATATATATGATTTTATATACAATATAATCAGTGGGCATTCATCAAAATTTGATGATATGTGCTATTGCTGACCTGTGCAGGTATGGTGGCCCCTGCAGTCAGCGAGTGGACTATCGCTTTAAGCTAAACTGGGCCACGTACCTCTCCAGTTCACACGGGTTCATTGTCGCCAGCTTTGATGGAAGGGGAAGCGGTTACCAAGGTGATGAAATAATGCACGCTATCTACAAGCGCCTTGGAACGTTTGAAGTGGAAGATCAGATAACAGCTGTGAGGTAAAGTGTGTTGGCCCTTTCAGTCACCCCTGTGACAAAACTTCCACTGTGAAGTGACCTCATTTGTTGGCTTAACCCTACTGTGTTATGAAGTTATGATCTAATAATATTCATGAAGAGTTTATAATAAAGGTAAATCTCTGGAATCCTTAAATATGTTTCCATGTTTTTGCCAGAGAATAAAATATTTCTGTGTTGTAGGAAATTCATCGACATGGGTTTTATCGACAAAGACCGAATAGCAATATGGGGCTGGGTAAGTTGTACTCTGTCTTGTTGCTCTCTCTGTATTTATCATTTATCTTTTTATTCAATGTATATGCAGTCACTAAATGTAATCAATTCTGACTTCAGTCATATGGTGGTTACGTCACCTCAATGGCCTTGGGTGCTGGAACTGGACTCTTCAAATGTGGAATAGCAGTTGCCCCAGTAGCCAAGTGGGAATATTATGGTTGGTGTACTATACTATAGTATATATTTCTCTGTTCTGTGAGCACTGTATTCCTTCTTTGACATATTTTACACTGTGTACTTAAAAAAGTACTCCATGTAGCACTGCATTCCTATAGCACTGTCAGTCACGCAATGAACATAGAAATTATAAATGTACTCATACAGCACCTTTCTAGTCTTACGACCACTCAAAGTATTACACTACAAATCAACATTCATCCCATTAAAACACATATTCATACATTGATGGCAGTGGCAACCATGCAAGGTACCAACTGCCCATCAGAAATCAGAATCAGAACAGAAAGTAAGACAATACCAGGGAGTAATTTGAGGTTCAGTATCTTGTCCAAATACACTTCAATAAGTAGGCTGGTGTGTTGTGCTAGTAGCGGCTAATGCTGCATCGGGCCGCTAGCCTCGAGAAGAGATGAGGAGCATGCTACAGAGGTCAAAATCTAATTTCTTTCCAACTATACGCCCACAGATCATTTTCATTTTCAAAAAAATACAGTTCATCAGACTTTGCACAGCTTCCACTGTTGACACAAAAGGCTTGAGATAACTTTTTTCACATATCCAGCAAGATTCCCCAAGACCTGTAAACAGACTTTGATATACAAAATCAGTGGAGTTCCTCTTTAAGGATTCAAATCTCTGTTTAAATCTTGTCAACTCTCTGAAGACATTTGAATAAGTGTGATTTTTTTGGTGTTTGTGTTAATATGTACTGTATGATTGTGGTATTAACTTGAGTTTCCTTTTGCAGATGCAGTATACACTGAACGGTACATGGGCAAGCCCACAGAGAATTCAGATGCTTATAAAGTAAATATTATACAATTCAGACTTATCAGAATATTTTTTGCGGGTATGCAGCACAATTCTGAGATATACAATATGTTATTAACAGTGATTTTCTTTCTTTTATTTAACAGAATTCCACGGTGGTGGCCAGAGCAAAGTACTTCAAAACAGTGGACTATCTATTGGTTCATGGCACAGCAGATGGTATGTTATTTCCTCCAAATTACTCTTCCTCTTTTGGGCATGTGGTATCCCTATTTCTCAACAGCTAACCAGGTAACACAGGAAAGCCTTGCACAAATAGGATTCTATTTGCCGTGATATAAACTTTAGCTTCGATGTTCAGTCACGTAGTGAAAGCACTCTCTTTCCTGTAGACAACGTCCATTTCCAGCAGGCAGCACAGATCTCCAAAGCTCTGGTGGACGAGCAAGTGGACTTCGAGGCGATGGTAAATATTGGCTCAGGAAAGTGGGGCTAATATTGGCCTTGATGGTGCTGATTTAATGAAAGTTGGAAATGGAAAAACTGTCATGAATTATAATGCACTTTTAAAAATATATATGATTTAAAATGTGTGTAACTTGATAATGTTACATGGAATGCAGAGTCTATGCACTAATCTGAATTTGGTGTTAATTTCAGTGGTACACTGACAAAAACCACGCTCTGCAAGGATCAGCCTCCCGGCATACATACACCCTCATGAGTCACTTCCTGCAGAAATGCCTTCTCAGTCCCAAATAGATGTGAAGAATGTGACAGCATTTATAGTGAACATTACCACAGTTTTTGTGTATATTTTATCTTACTGAAATTTTGACGTGTCAGTTGAAATATGTGCATTTGTTTTTATGTGCAATGGATCTCTGATTTCTAATACAAATTAGCATTATTTTGTATTTTATGTGGAATTATGGAAAAATTGCTAAAATGTCTGGCATTTAAAACATACTCAAAACCATTGCATGCATGTATGATTTTTTAAAATATTATAAATAATAACATATAATAGCTACAAGGCACTGCACTGATTTGTTATGGAGCGTTTAAATTTCTGATGGAGTTATGTTCTAATGAAAGTGAAATAAATGTTGTTTTGAAAAAATAACAGTGTCATTATTTGTACTTGTGAAGTCTATTACATTTTGTAGTCCAAATGAGTCTGCCACACCTTAACCCCCAACATCTTTTAATATAGTCAGAGTGGACTAGTGGAGTTTTTGTGTTGAATGTCTTGTGCTTCTTTGTGTGTTCTTTGTCTTTTAACATAATGGGACCATGTTTGAAATACATTTTTTCACTTTAACATGTTACTCTTTAGATATTTTTTATTTTTTTGGTGTCTGATAAATTCAATCAATCACAGTCACAATGAACCTTAAAACATAAGTTTTAAAACTCACTTTATATGCAAGTAATGTAGAGAGATGACACTATTATAAAAAACAAATATATATATATAGAGACAGTAATTTGAACACATATGGGTGCCAGTATTTGTCAGTATTTATTTGTCAGGGTAGAGGTCATGTTTGATAGTAACACCTAAAGTAGCAGCTTTTACAACCCAGCTATTGCTGAGGTTTTTTTGTGTATTTAAACAAAGTCAAATACATTCAGTGGTCTGAGACGGAAGGTGACTAATGGATTGAGAGTAACAGAGGATGCTGAGGTTTCTGTGACGGGGGAGTCACCTGGGAGAATGCTCCTCAGCTTCACTATATAAGACTGTGCTGATCAAGAGGGGACCATGAAACTGCTTCAGAAGCCAAGAGAGAAGAAGGGCACCAATCAACACACTTTACAATCCCTTTCTCAGACGTTTGACAGAAAGGAGCACAGGTGAGAATATTTGTTGCTTCCTCCTGTCACATAGAATTTTATTCTCTTGTGCTGTATTGAAGTGTCTCTCTCTCCTTCTGTCTTTTTTTCTCGTCTTTCAGAAGCTCAAACAATGAAAATTGCTCACTCTTTGGCTGGAGTCCTGCTCCTCATCATTATCCAAAGCAGCTGGCAGGTGCCTGACCAGGACACAGACCGAAACTCCATGTAAGATCAACTCTCAGCTTTGTTCAATTCACGTTGGCCTAAAACCTTCATCCCAGCAAGAATCTTTTTTATGTGAGGATTAGGCAGGTCCTGAGCTATGCATAATCATGCAATTAGTTTCAAGGTTTTAATGTACTTGAATGACTTAGATATTTCAAAATATGCCTCTGAACGTTTCAGCAAAACATTTTGACAGCTGTTTGTTAAATTCATCTTTATTTTTGTGTATTGTTATAGTTGAGAGGGCTCCAATTTGTCAAACATTTCTAATGTAAGACATAGAGCACTAGTGCTTCCTTGCAAATTGCATTGCCATTTACAGCTCCATGTGTTGCACTCAGCCGTGTATCAGCTGTTGACATTAGGATCCACAGTGCAAATAGACATGTAATTTCTCATTATGTCAGTTTACATTCTAAATGAGAACACCAGTGGGCAAAGTTGATATTTATAATGTTATTTTGTCTTCAAGTATTAGCATTTTAATGTTTGTTGATCCAACACCTGTACAAAATGTACACATGTACTAAAGTATCACATAGTGTAATTTAATCTTTTGAACATTCAATTTCACAAGCAAGGACCACAGCATCAATGAGATCGAAATCTAATTAAAAGAAAAGTACTGTTGATTATGAAACGTCAATAAATGTGATGAGAACAATGAATCAGGATAAACAGCTGCGGTGTGGTGAAGACTTCAGCAAGTAGAAAACCTCCTAGGAGACCCTGCAAGCGAGAGAAAGGACAGGGAGGCTAGGGCATGAAAAATTAGAACATTGCAGGGCTGTTAGGTGTTTACAGCCATAAGACAGGAAAGGGAGTGTTTGAGATGAGTTTGCCTCACCTTGAGCTTAATCATTTCCGTCATTTCTAGGCTACTTACTGAAAACTCCCTGATGACTGAACCCATTGAGCTCCCAAACATGAAGAGACATTCAGAGGGGACATTTTCCAACGACTACAGTAAATACCTGGAGACAAGAAGAGCACAAGACTTTGTCCAGTGGCTAAAGAACTCAAAAAGAAACGGGTGAGTGCCCTTACTAAATCTCTTCACACTATGAAATATATTATAAATAAGGCTGGCTTTAATTGCATTTATACTGTAAATTGCTGTGTGCCTCTGGTACTGGATCAGAACCGTTGCTGTGATTTAAAAATCATGTTTTATCAAAATAATAGTAATGTGACTTACCTAGCAGCTTGCACCACAATTACATACACACTTACACAGTTATTGTGACTGCATCATCTAATTGTGTCTGTTCCTACAGGAGTCTATTTAGACGTCATGCCGACGGCACCTACACCAGTGACGTGAGCTCCTACCTGCAGGACCAGGCAGCCAAGGAGTTTGTGTCCTGGCTGAAGACTGGCCGAGGCAGAAGAGAGTAAACTCAAACTGAGCGCCCCAACAGCTCCCTAAATAACGCGACATTTCACACTGACTCTGTGCTATTATATGTTTCATAATCTGTACTAGCCTTTTTCTTCGTCATGCTATTAAATTCACATCGTAATAAGCTTTGTTTGGCCTTCAGTGGTTGAAGGAAATGTTGTTCAAATGTTGCAAACATTTCCAGTATGTTTGAAATGTGTCTCAATCATAAATGCTGCGTGAATTTTTTATCAATCATTCACATCATAATTCTTTTTTCATATTTCACATTGTTGGCACTTTCATCTTTTCCTTCTCCCATAAATTTATGTTACAGTCACATTAGTGATTTGAATTGAAACATCGATACTTCCATCTGTAGATAGTCTCAATTTTCTTATTATTCAGATAAAAGTCATATTTAGTTTTCAATAAAGAAATGTGTACAATCTATGAGTTCCCTCTGAAATGTTGGTTTGACAAGGATCACTCTCAGCAAGGTTCTACATTTATACTTGTACATCTAAATACATAAATATACAGATGATGTTTTAGGCACATGATCCACCTGTCAATGCCCATCAAGAATAGAATAAAAAAGACATGGTTGTTTTAATCAATAGTATTTTCAAAGACAACTTTTTTACATTGTCCACTGGTAAATGAAAATATAAATGTTGAACGTCTTCATCCAGTATCATTGTTCACATCAGTGTTAATTTTTGTCTAACAAACAGTGTCATGGTCGCTTAATCCTTCTTTATATGGAGACAGAACTCTCAGGGAGAAATGTGCTGTGGGATTTCTCCCAGGTAACAGGATGATGTGTAAATGCTGCATATTTGTATAGATGATGTGTGTCACCTGTCAGCGGTTCACTGGAGAAGGTTTTCCCAGTGATGTTCAGACAGCACACCGAGGAGGGTTATGCGTAATGAAAGAAATGGAAATCATGTCAATCAACTCAAATTTGTTGGGAACAATGACTGGGTCGACACTCTTGAGTTCCTCCTGGCACTGAGACCAAACATGAGCCAGCAGCTTGACATGTTTTGGGATGTGCCAGCTCTCTAAGCTGTCACCCACTGCACATCAAACCATCTGTTGATTACACAAAGCCCTGCCCACTTCAGTCTATTTGTAGGCCAAATCTCTAAGGGTTATACATTGGACATTTATGCTTAGCAGCATTGCTGCTGGATGCTTCTATCATGGCACAGCATGTGCACCTACATGATTATTTCACAGTTAATCTGATATGTAATTTGAGCCTAAATAATCCTCATTGAGTCTTGGGGATACAATGAAAGGATTTGTGGTTACTGATCAAGCGATGTTAAACACATTTCGGTAACATAATAAGAGTACAAAAACATGCTTAACTAATGCATAACTATAGCATGAGTCGTCATGAGCACGATTCAGTGTATCAGTACTGTATCATGAATGCCTGTTGCTAACCAGTGTTGAAGAAATATTGTGAGCCAGGTTCAGGTGTGATGAAGAAGTTTAGGAGGCTGAAGACTAACATAGCATGCTATGTTACAAGCTGAAGGATACTTCCCTTCTGGGGATATTTATCCTTCCTAGACCTACAGAGACTTACTAAGTGTCCAAATAAGGTTATTTATCACCCTTTTGTACATGTGTGAAGATTCTATTGGTTATTGGTTCAAATGAAGACACAGTGTGTGTCAGTTAAACCACATGCAACACTTTCGAGCCAGTCAGTCTGTCTGTAATGAAACACGATAAAGGTAGTCTCAACCTTGGGTTACCTAACAAATGTATAACAGTGCATCAACTATGCGTCAGTCAGTAAGTCAACAAGCAGGCAGAGAGGAGGGACAGAGTCTGTCCTAAAGTTTTGGAGAATCCCAGACTGTCACCTTTGGCTTACTTTTGCTCAGCAATTGACCCTATCATGATCTGGGGAAATATGCAGCACCGTATCCATAAATTATTCCCTCACAGCCAGTACATCACAGGGCTGACATATAATTGTCAATTTGGGCTCTTTGATAGAGACAAACAGCTGCTCACATTCACATTTACCAATTAACTACCAATCAACATATTGATTGCATGTCATTGGACTGTGGTAGGAAGCCGAAGTATCCACGCTGACATGGGGAGAACATGCAAACGCCAACAAAAAGGTCCCAGCCCCAAACGTAATCTCATCGGCCCCAGGCATACTACGGTATATTCAGTGGTGGTAGAAGTATTCAGATCCTTCACTTAAGTAAAAATGTTTGAAGCTTTGTGACGATGCATTCTCCAGCTAATCCAAGAGGGGGTTTAAATTTTTTATTGAGCGTAAGAAGTAGGAGGATTTTCTCAATCCATAAAGGAAAATTCAGTTCATTCATCAGAAAAATTAGAATTCATAATCATGAAATTTGGAGAAACACATTCCCTGGTCAGGAGAGGTATGGAAAATTGTAATCTGAAAAGGAACTAGTAACTAAAGCTAAAAATATAGTAGGGTAAAAAGCATAACATTTGCTCTGAGATTCAAAGTCAATGGGAATTTCAAACCCATGCCTTTGACCACAGCTTCTCTGAAAACAGAACAGTACCTGCTCTCACAGAAATACAAAGCTGTTTTATCAGACTGGTATAGTCAGATTATTACACCTTATTAGGACTGAGTGTGTGTGTAACAATGACAAGACAAACAAGAGTGCTCATAGAAATGTATTAAGTTAAAATAACATACATACAATACATAATAAACAATACATAATACAATTATTATTATTCTAAGTATTTTTAAAGCTTCAGCTTCATTGTAATCCTCAGATGTATTGCATAATTGGAAAGTTTTTTTAGGCTTAAATGCCTTAATGATGAAGCATTTTAATTTATGATTCACTAAACTATATACAAACATTTAAACAAATTATAAGATTTTTCAAAATGACATTTACAATATAAGCAAAACACTGACACCAGGAGGCAAAATACTGCCTCTGTCTCTGTTAGGCTGCAGGATATTCTGTAGCAAACACATTCATTTTATTCCACAAAATAAATATAGATAAATAGTTTCTCATATAAATAGAGTTTTGACATTCTGGCAGAAAGTGCTATTGCATTTCATTCTTAAGAGATATATGTATATTGCCCTTTATCAATCACTTTAAAGCACTCATTCCTATCAGTAACAATCATTACATGGGATTCAAAATCCCATCACATAAACAGACAACAGAAATATATATTTTCCAGGCTTTTCAAGTTATAAGAATTTATTTATGTATGGCTTTACGGAAAGTTTTTGACCTAAGGTTTTAAAAATATTTACAAGATCTTCATATTTAATTTCACATCATAATCAATGTCTATAAAGAATTTACAGACTAGAATCTAGGGAATCAGTATATAAATGTATAAAGACTCCAAGGATACTATATGTTGATGTGACAGTATTTCAAAAGTATATAACTGTAACAAAATAAATACAAATTAATCCAAAAAATTGTCTCTTATCAAGACCAACCTTTTACTTTACATTCAGTATAGCAATCCAGATTTAGAAAGTACAATATGACATTAACAACACAAGAAAATAGTAGGTTTCACTGGTTCATGAAGAGGCAGAATATTTGTGACACATCAGATACAGTTATTCACTTACACAAAGAGAGTTACAGGGCTGAACTTTGAATCATTAAACTGCAGCATACGATACAAATTAATTTACAAACACTCAGAAGGGACAGTGACAAAGACTCACAGCGCTGTCCTCCGACTTCTACATCTTACATTTGTCATCATGCACACCACTGTTGTGAATGAGTGTTGTAGTGACCTGTTAGTATCAAGAAAGAAAAGACAGATAACAGATGTTACAGATGTAATTAGAGGATACAGTGAGGAAAATAAGTATTTGAACACCCTGCTATTTTGCAAGTTCTCCCACTTAGAAATCATGGAGGGGTCTGAAATTGTCATCGTAGGTGCATGTCCACTGTGAGAGACATAATAAAAAAAAAAATCCAGAAATCACAATGTATGATTTTTTTAACTATTTATTTGTATGATACAGCTGCAAATAAGTATTTGAACACCTGTCTATCAGCTAGAATTCTGACTCTCAAAGACCTGTTAGTCTGCCTTCAAAATGTCCACCTCCACTCCAGTTATTATCCTAAATTAGATGCACCTGTTTGAGGTCGTTAGCTGCATAAAGACACCTGTCCACCCCATACAATCAGTAAGAATCCAACTACTAACATTGCCAAGACCAAAGAGCTGTCCAAAGACACTAGAGACAAAATTGTACACCTCCACAAGGCTGGAAAGGGCTACGGAGAAATTGCCAAGCAGCTGAAAAAAGGTCCACTGTTGGAGCAATCATTAGAAAATGGAAGAAGTTAAACATGACTGTCAATCTCCCTCGAACTGGGGCTCCATGCAAGAAGAAGAATGATGAGAACCATCCCAAGAACACCATCCCTACTGTGAAGCATGGGGGTGGTAGCATCATGCTTTGGGGGTGTGTTTCTGCACATGGGACAGGGCGACTGCACTGTATTAAGGAGAGGATGACCGGGGCCATGTATTGCGAGATTTTGGGGAACAACCTCCTTCCCTCAGTTAGAGCATTGAAGATGGGTCGAGGCTGGGTCTTCCAACATGACAATGACCCGAAGCACACAGCCAGGATAATAATGAGTGGCTCTGTAAGAAGCATATCGAGGTTCTGGCATGGCCTAGCCAGTCTCCAGACCTAAACCCAATAGAGAATCTTTGGAGGGAGCTCAAACTCCGTGTTTCTGTGTGATCTAGAGAAGAGGAGTGGGCCAAAATCCCTCCTGCAGTGTGTGCAAACCTGGTGAAAAACTACAGGAAACGTTTGACCTCTGTAATTGCAAACAAAGGCTACTGTACCAAATATTAAAATTGATTTTCTCAGGTGTTCAAATACTTATTTGCAGCTGTATCATACAAATAAATAGTTAAAAAATCATACATTGTGATTTCTGGATTTTTTTTAGATTATGTCTCTCACAGTGGACATGCACCTACGATGACAATTTCAGACCCCTCCATGATTTCTAAGTGGGAGAACTTGCAAAACAGCAGGGTGTTCAAATACTTATTTTCCTCACTGTATATATATCAAGACTTGTTACCGTTAGTGGTGGAAGAAGTTCTCAGATTCTTTACTTAAGTAAAATTAGTAATAACAGAGTGTAAAAATACTCCATTGGCTACAAGTAAAATTCCTGCATCCAAAATTATACTTACAACTATTATAAGTATGAGGATTATCATCAAAATGTACTCAAAGTATCAAAGGAAAGAATATCTCATTATGTAGAATGGCACCTTTTAAAGTGGTAAACTTATTATATATTTAAATACAATTAGCTCATGTGTTATGACTGAAAACTCAAAATTTGAAAAAAATAAAAAATAACTAATAAAAAATACCCATTGGAAAATATTGGTGTAAAAGCATAAAGTAGCATAAAGTAAAGCACAAGTACCTCAAAATTGTAGGTCACTTTAGTAAGGTAAGTGACTAAATGTACTCTTTCTACCACTGGAAGCCTGTAGTATTTAATTTGTGGCAACTAAGTAGTATCTTCAACCAAGTCCAGTTGCCCTTGACTTTAACCTTCTTTGGATAACCATGACCTGGATGACTGAGAATCTTCACAGACATCCGGCAACTAAGTGGTGTTGAAGCTGGTAATGAGTTACAGTAAGGCCTCACTGAACTCTAGAGCAGATCTGCTGCTTATAGACTATATTTATACCAAACATTTTAACTTCTTGCAGTTTTCGGAAATTTTTATCTTTATTACGAGTTAGTTGGGCATTTAAATGTGGGGTTGTTGGGTATTGGAAATTTTCGTTATCACTCTCACACATTAGATTTTTGATACATGTACATCGTGAGTTTTGTACTGTATATTCAACATATCCAAAAAGTCTTACCATAATGTTTTGAGGTCTTGATTTTTTCTCAAATATCTTAGCTGTTGGCGTTCCAAGTATTTCCAAAAGAACCTTTTGACATTTCATCTGTGATATTGATGATGGGTATTCCCCTGTAAAAGAGAAGCAGAGAACAATTTACTCTTTCATCTTTACGCACCAAATTAATATGGGCTGTACATGAAATGGCATTTAGAAAACTGTTTCATAGATGTTATTTGTAAAACTTCACAAGAGTAATATAACTTACTTGTACCCTTCTAATGGCACTTGCACTACTCGCTCATCTTCTGCCAGTATACTCTGCTCCTCCTCCTGAAGGTTGAATGAAGTGCAGTTTAAATGCATGTGAAATGCATAATGAAAAATGAATAGGGAAACACTTATTTGTTTATGAGAGCAACAGCACCTCTTCGGCATCCTCAAGCTTCTTCTTCTTGCTCTCTGGCATGAGGTCGTCCAGCCAGCTCAACTCTCTCTTGGTAAAGAAACAGTCCATTAGCTTCCTGATAAACACCAGAGCCAAAACCTGCAGAATTGACGCACACAATCATCAGTCCACAAAAAAATCCTTTATCCTAGCAATGGGGGTACATTGTGCTGAAGAGGTAAATGGATTTAAACTAATAGGAAGCATACAGTGGTGGTAGCATGAAGGACACATCCGCTTATATGGCGGATGTGCTCATAGATGTAGAAAAAGAAGAAGTTGTAGGGACCACATGACTTCAAATAACTTCCACATGCACTGCAGCAAAACTCTATACATTTTTGACAGCACAAGATATAGTTGATACAAAATGATATTATCTGCATGTTCTATGTCTTATTTAGGGATCGTTCAAACATACAACACAATATGAAGTGACTCACAAAGCTCCAAGGAGGCCAAAGAAAAAACACATGACAACAAACAAACAGGGAGACACTGCTTTGGGAAAGAGGAGCTGCTGCCACAAGTTAAAACACCCCCCCAGATAAATGATCCTTACAGAGCCCCTAAGGGGACGTGGACAAAGAAATAGATAATAATAATTTCTTGGATGCACCTGATACTTTCTGATAGTATCTGGTGCGCACCAGACAGTATCTCATGTGCACCAGATACCTGTAACATCTTTTGCGCACCAGATACTTTCTGATGGGCACAGGAAACATGATTGGTTTTTTTTTTCAGGTTCCCTTAGTGGCTCTGTAGAACCAGACCTGACCCTAGTAACATGCCTGTACTCACACACTGAAGCCTGTTCACACTTCGGTAAGGTGTGTGGTATGAAAGGACATGCAGCCTGTGTAAATGTTCTGCAGATGGTATAATCTGACTGTTTACAAACCATCATGGGAAAGACAATGGCAGCCCTGGAGGTCTTGATGACCCAGAGCAGGACCAAACAGGTGAGCTGGATGATGGTGAAGAGGTGCACTTTCCTCAGAGGTACATGTCGTAGATAGATGAAGTCTGGCTGGTGCTTAGGTGGCATGCCGAACAGTTTAAGACGGTCAAAGAACTGGAGAGGATAAAGGATAAACAATTCTTATCTCTGCAGTGACTGATGTTTTTTTGGTCACTTGGGAGAGGCGGAAACAAGTTGTGAATACAATATTGACATAGCATCACCATTTAAGTTGACGTGACAAACTTGTTAGCAAACAGTTGTTTATTTATACATCCGTAAATACAGAGCAATATCATCATTCATTTGTGTCCACCTGCCAAATGCAAGTCCAACATTCACTATATTCATCAACTAGTCACTAACTGTGTCTGTCTGCTGTTTGGTGCTTAGCAGATAGTGCAGAGCAGGTTTTCAGAGCTAGTTCATTGAAAACAGCTACCTGCTGCAGGTGAAAACAACGCATTGAAAGCTGTGAGAATAAACAAAAACAGTGAAGACACTTTAAATCTCTGTAAAGCCGAGGGCTATCAGATTTAGGTAATAATTCTCTATTAGTGACGAGTGACTACTTTCATATTATCACATTAGTGTCATGTGTTGTGATTTGATACACTATCAAAAAATATATTTATTAGAGTCACTTCAAGTTAAGTCTTCATAATGCACCATTTGAGAAGGGTTACAACAACCAATGTATGTGTAATGTTAAAATGTTCCTAAATGTTCCTGAAACCCACAGAGAATAATCTCTGAACTCAGCAGCTATGCAGCTTTTTTAGCATCTTTAAGGTTAAGGTAATGTCTTGGCAGCCTTTTTAAACAAAAAGCTGTGATAAACAAACAAAAGAACTGGCTCCCCAGCATCAAACAGCAACAGACAACATTACTGACTAGCTGGTGGTCCAACAGTCCAACATCTATCAAGCTCAAAGTTGCTCTGTGTCTGCTGGATATGTAACTGGATCTCATGACAAGCATAGGACACCTGTGCAAGAAATATATATTTTTCTTAACTTAAATATATTTTTCAAATCCAATAATAGAAAGTTAAAAAAAAGTGCAAAAAATAAGAAGTAACCAGGGAAAATAAATAACAATCAGGTGTTCTGTAAATGCTGGGAACACACTAGAGGCCAATTAACACTTTTTATCTGGCAGCCAGACAATATGGAGGCGCTCCCCTATCATGGCTTGGAGAGAATTAACAGTCTACATAGATTATCCAGTAGAAGCGTCTGCAAATTGTAGTTTAACCGCACTGACCAACTATCTAACATCAGCCATGCAGATAATCTCAATAAAGTTTCATATTTACAAACAAAATTCTGCACAGGTCCGAAAGTGTGTCATAATCACGTTTTGGGAGTGTAGACGACTGTTTTCAAGCCTGGTGTGAGAATTAAGACTGAGAAACAAAACAAAAAAGCGATGTGTGTGACGCAATTAACTTTCAACATCTGTTAGTTCAAATTTGTCCGCTAATACCACAGACAACTATATCAAAGTCAATTATATCAAGTGTTACAGTATAATGTGAGTAAAAAAAGATGCATTGAATACAGTGAAATTCAAATAATTTTACCTGAATGCCTCTGAGAGAAGATGCTCCCATGTAAAGGAATACTCCATATAACACAGGCATAGGAATGAACTGAAGAACAAAAGTGTTAGGTCAGTAACTGCTCTATTTTAGCGGACCTTCTGCACTCAATAATCAACCAAGACTTAAATGTCTTCAGGATGAAGCACTGAGAAATGTGTAGAACAATTACAGTGAGATACTTTATGTCACACTCAATAATACTGGGAGAATGACTGTACACAAGTCAAAAAGCATAAATAACATAATGACCTTCAGCACAGATGTCATGAAGACAGAGCAGCCCATGAGGGTGAAGATCATGAGGCCGGTAAAGCGTTGCTCTCTGATGCCAAGGAACTTGGGCTGCTCCCCAGGAGCTGAACACTCCGACTCAAGTTTCAGGCTGTTGACGTGGCTAATGGAGAGGACGGTGGCTGCCACGAACCAGGGCAAGCCCATCAAAGAGCACACACCAAGCATCACCCCCACCATGAACAGATCCAGGTGGTACCCACAGCCTTTCTGAAGGGGGAAACATTATTTTAAAAGCATTTTAAGACAAGCTAAATTCAAATCTGCATATCTACAAGATGCTATATAAGCCATCTTATTATTGTAGTCTGCTTCCAGAGCTCAAAGCTGGGACAGGACCTTACCTTGAGTTTGTGTTCCTTCCTGTTGATGATGACAGCTGTAATCTGCTGGTCCATGAAGATGAGGATGGTACAAAGCAGAGCTGGGACTACTGTAATGACTGCAGTCCACCAGGGGTTGGGCCCCAGCGGGTTGATGAACCAGCCTCGGTCATCTCTGGTTGGCTGGCAAAAATTACAAAGATTGTTGTTGGTTAGACATAAGTAGCAGCTTGTTGAAAAATGTTAGTTGGCAATGCGTTAATCAAATCTTTTGTGGACTAGCTCACCTTAAACACACTGGGAACCTTTAGTTTTGGAGAGGGGATCCCTAAGCCATAGTCAACTAAGACCATGGTAAGGATGGTGAAGAAAACAGCAAAGTCACTGATGATGGACCTCACCTGATAGAGAGGAAAACATGTAAAATGATTGTAAATGCCCCTAAATCTTCCAGTTTCATTTATTTTACCCAATATAAAAACAAACCAGGAAACTTCTTTCTATTACGCAGTACCTGTATCTGACCACTAGAGTGTACCACTGTACTATACTACATAACCGAAGCCACGTTTAGCTGCTGTAGCAGCTTTGTCTTGATGCTTGGATCACAATGTTCTCTAATGTAGTGCTAATGTATGAAGAGTACAGTAGCCTACCTTTGTGGGAAAGTAATTGCTGAACTTGAACTCCTTGAGGAAGGCGGACATGAAGACGGTGGAAAAGAAGAGAATGACACACCAGAAGAGGACATCAGGGACATACGGGCCATGAGGGCCACATGCGCTGCCCACAAACTCCCCGCGCTTTTCTATACAGTCCTGCAACAACAGGTAGAGAGCACAATTATTTGATTTATTATATTATTAGCAATGCACCAGCAAACTCTAGGCTTCCACAAATAGGGTTTATGAGCATCCATGTCCACAAAAAACTTCACAGAGTACAAAAAATGTGCTTTTATAGTGATTTGCAATGAGTAATCCAATATAATCCAGCCCACATGCCCTTAATCTCCTCTGTTCAGCTTCCTCCATCTGGGAGAGCATGCCACTTTAAGGTGGAAAATCCAAATGTGTCTTTTCAGTCTGTCTTTGTGAAACTCAGTGATTCCTGGTGTTGTGTGCCTATAAAACCTCCATGACTGACAGATCCGTTTTTGTTTTTTTAACCAAGTCGGCGTGGGTAGTACCTTGGCCTCCAGTGCCTCCCAGTAAATTTCTGAGACAGTGATGTTGTTGATCTCCCAGTATTTCAGGGTTCCATTGGTAGGGTCAGAAGGTTCAACACATGAACATCTGTGGTAACAAACAAACATCTGGGTTACTAAGTAATCGCTCATCTGTCTGGGATTTACAGTACCTCCGAGAAATAGACTTAGCAATTTTTCTTTTTTTGTCCCTACTACAAAGTATAATAGTATATAGTGTGAAAATTGGTGTCCACATACGAGTACATGGTGAGTTTGTCCAGGTTCATGTTCTTATTAAAGGGATAGTGGTCTCCAAGGTGGACAAGTTTTTCCAAGGCCTCGTAGATGAAGATGATGCAGATGAGTGAGGCAAAGGCTTCCTCTGTAAAACGCGTTATGTAACAAACAAGGGAACTGGCATCTGTAGCCACCAGCATGATACAGAGGAAAGCTGTCCAAAGACCAATACAGGTTCTCAGTGACAGATAGGACAAGCCATACTCCCTATGTGGAGATAAAGGGGGAAGAGAATAATTAATGCTGAATATATGCGAGATAAAAAAATATCATAAAATGATTATGTACTGTATGTAATGTGGTGGATTAGTGGAAGTCATTATCACAATGGAATGACATGGTATTTTGTCCATACAATCAGAACATGCTCATTGGGAGGTCAGATGTTCAATAATGTCCACAAAACGTAACTCACAGCAAGCCGATAAACATCAAACAGTGTAATCACAAAATGATGCAATGCACAGATTAAATGATTTATGCGTACAGTCACACAAAAAGAAAACATACTTGCAGAATTTGAACAATATCTTTTCAAATACAAGCACTGGCCCTGTGCTGCCCAAAATGGTAAGGGGCTGCCCGGCAAACAGGGAATAGGCTATTCCAGTCAGTGAGGCTCCGAACAGCGACTCAATTGCACTCTGGGGAATGGGAAAGCACAGAGAGATATTTGATGGATAGTTACCTTTAAATACTTTACTGTATTGAGCTACAGCTGTTGTCTGGTTTAATTAACTGACAGGCTAGCACAGTTTACTGCAGTGTACAGCTAGTCTTGGCAGAACACTGTGAACATTTAGAGGATGTGATTTACTATGCGTCCTTCTGTTGCCTCGCCCAGTAGTCCTCCAAAGGTGATGACAGGGGACATGCAGGCACAGTAGAGGAAGAGGAAAGAGGCCACACACTGTAAACTAAAAGCATCAGTGTAGTCGGACAGGTAGTGGGGTGCCTTGCGCTTGATGTCCAAAAAGAGACCACCAAACCATCTGGGAATATAAAAAGAAATTTGTCTCTCATGTCATTTAGTCACATGTGAATTTTTTTTTCTTGCTCTCCCTCCATTGCCTTTGTCCCGATGTTCAACTCCTGAGCTTAGTGTGATATGCCTCTATAATAGAGAAGTCGAGCTGCAAATAGACATCTCAGGGAAGGATGTTTCTATGGAAACCACTTTATAACTACAACTACAGACCAAGTTTACCCAGAAATAACCACTCAGCACTATAGTGTACATGTTGTAGAAAAATTATATTTGATATTGTACATTTCAGAAAACACATAATAAGGAAAGACTGATGTCCATAGCAATGCATTATCTTAAATAAAACTGTAGTTTACTTGTATTAAATTATTCCACATGCCAGGGATTAATATATTTTCTATTAGATTCATAAATCACAAATCCTCTGCAACAAAGTATTCAGAGTGCAGTGAGTGGGCTGCATGCTGTACTGCCATAGCACTGCATGTCCACATTTTAGTAAAAGGAACATATTTGTGAAAATAATCTCTCTTCACCTGTGTATAAAGACTTGACGCTATTCTACTGGTGATCAGAATTCACTTTAAACAAAAACATTCTTCCCCTTTGTTATTCCTCACCTTCCAGTACGCTGCAGTTCTGGACCCCCGTGGCCACCTTCCGCCTCTTCCTCATCACCCTCTACTAATCCGTTACATTTCTTCCTCTTCTCCTGTTTAACAAACAATCCTAAGCAGTTAGTTTATTTTACCTTACTTGTCACATGATTGTCATAGAAGAAAAAGAAGAAATAAAAAACCACCAGCCAAGTAAATTGCTACTAACCTGAGAAGGTACATTTTTTGGCGGCTCTATCCGTATGGACGGGTCCCACTCTCCTGGAGGCAGGACTGTCACTTGATCGAGGAATTCATCAATCCCAGCGATCAGATCGTTGCGGTCTTTAGCTTTATAGGCAACATCATGGAAAACCTGGAAATAAAAAAATAAGGAAGGCTGATTAGGACTGCCCTCCTGACTCAAACCTTGACTCAGTGATTTGCACTGCACTTGCTGCACTGTATGTGCAAGTTTCACCATTTGCATTTGACAACCTTGCATACCTGCATATACTTCACAGACCCATGGATATTTTAAATGCAGGAATGTCTGCCAACCTTTACTGAAAACAAACAAACAGGCACATTCACACTTATGTCTCTGGACTAACTTAACCCCGTATAAACATGTGCCTAGGATAGCACAGGCTAGCATATTAGGACCTGCTTACTGCTAAACAACAGTGCTGGTTGGCTCACAATTATCCCTTATAAAATATCCAGTTTCATCAAATCTACTCATTCCAAAGTGTATAACAAAGTTTGGACTTTGTCAAAGCCCATATTTTCCTCAGTGATGATGGATGGCGGCCTAAAATCCAGACAAAAAGGAGGACATGAGGGCTGACTAATCGCCAAAAGCATGTCATAAAAAGCTCTGAGCTGTGTTTCATGCTGAGAAATGTTCCATCACTTCAAGAATTTGTTGAGTTCTGCTGGACTGTGAATTTATGCAAAGTGCCTGCAAAAAATCTGAGTAACGACATCTGGTTGACATTCAAACCAATCCACCCTCTTCAAAACATTACTGAATAAGTAACACAGTAACAAGGTGAATTCATACCTCATCTGTCATAAGTGTTGCAATGGACCTTCCAATCTCATGATACTGAGGCGCTCTACCCAAAGGCCCTAAAAGAATGAACAGAAACCTAAAAACAAAACCAGATATTAATACAATGTCAAATCAGAATTAACTTAGATGCATATTTACTTAATGTCAGACAGAGAAAAAATATTTATATCAGAAGCTGAACTGGTTTAGTTGAATCAGCCAGCAGTAACCTTGTGGCGATCGGAACTTCAGCCAGCCCACTGAGCAGGACCGCCGGTGAAAGGCGGACAAACGCCACCACCGGCTTGTTCAGAAATTCCAACTCTCCCACTAACACGTTACACGCCTCGGCCCCAACTGGGATCTTTTTCATGAAGTGAAGATCTATCTGAAAGAGGACACAAAGCACAGTGTTTTAGTGTATAAAAGACCTTGAAAACCTTTCTTGTAAGCTCACTGTCTAGGCTGCTTTGACCGAGAGCCTGCCAAAAAGTAAAAAAGAAAGTATATTCTATAAGTAAATGGATGTTTATCATCACATTAAGCCTCAAATTAAATGGTTTGACTGGATTCTAGTCTAAATATAATCCTGGACCTTTGGATTATATTTTTGACTGTGTGTCATATGACATGGACTGTTTGTTCCTTCATAGAGTTTATATGGCTCTAAGGCAGCTGTTGTGCACAATCCACATGCATATTTTTGACATATTGGTCATGACTTACATAAAAAACATTTCTCTTCACTGTCTCACAGTTATAATAACACAGTTGTAAATAATAATGTACAGAATAATACACAGCTGGTGCAAAGGGGGTTTTTCATTGCTGCAGTGTTCTTAAATGTATAAGTTGCAAGATACCAGGGCTCGAGACTAATGGCGTCCTGTCAACCTGGGAACAATAGAAAATGTGTTTGGGACAAAGAGAAATATTCTCTGGGACACCTCTGGGACGAAAGGGATTGTGTTTATTTATTCTCATGCAGTAACAGTTCTATGTTCTGATAAGGTCGACTAGTGTCGAGAATCATCTCCACCCTGCTAATGCAACTCGGCGTAGCCTACGGCGTGATAGTAAAGTAAACCTCCACCCCTGCGCACACTGAGACATGCCAGCAGACTTGCTTGTAGAGTTTTACATTATAAACATCTAAAACCTGATCCACAGCCTGGCTCTGTTTGGGACTGTGAGCTGCGCTTTTAATGTGGATTTGTGCTGAGATTCCTACCTGATCACAAGTATAAGTTTCGGTTTCGGTTTATATCTCCGATAAAGTGCAGTGCACTTGTCTCATTCAGAACAGTCTGAGGGGGAGCACAGCAGAGTATAGGTCAGGTAGACTTATCAAAAAAATATTTTGAATTCCCATTAAATAATGATTTTTTTCTGGACATGTCAGAGAACACAGACATGTGGGAGAGATTCTGAATGTGTAGAAATTTTTGAACATGAACAGAAAACCTGCTGAAACACAGGAGCTATTAAAATCCAGGAGTAATAACTTAATTAAAATTAAACCAACAGATAACATTTGTTTTTAAATCTTTGATTGAATCAAGAAAAATAAATATTATTTATTTTATTTGTTTTATAAATTTTATGACTTTATCATCATTTATTATGTCACTAACAACTATTGAGGATAATAACAAAGCAAGGAAATAACATTTTGATTTTGGGACGCTTAACATTAACTTCAGGACGGTTCAAGATACGTATGTATAAGAAAAAAGCTGCTGTGGATGATTTGGTTCAGTCAGTTCAACAGTTCTAAAAACCCACTCATGTAAGCAGAACACATTTCATATAACATATAACATATAGCTAACAAAACACATGAAACAGTTCAAATATAATAATAACTCATATACAGTACATTGTGCAAATGGATTCAAAAAGGATTTTATTTTTGCTGTCTGTGGTTGTAATGTGGTTATCATTAATGCTGAATACTTGGAAACATGGTTGTAATCCTAATCCCTTGCTAGATGCTCTCTCCATTAAAAATACCATCAATGGACTCACTAAACACACTAAATAACTCTGCTGATATAGTGCAAATATGGCATAAGAACAAGAATAACATTTGGGCTTCAGTACCACTCCGACAGAAGTGCAATTGCGACATTGATGCAAGATCATTTACACAAAGTATCAATACATATAAAGATACTGAGTGACAAATAAATTACGAGCATTCACAATGTTAATTAAATATACGTATGTTTCCACAAATTATACTTAAAGCATGAAAGGAATTTACAGTTCACAAAAATGGTAATAATTATAATTATATTACTGAATTATTATTGTGGATGCATGAATTTGCAGGCAGCATTTTATTGTTGCTAATAGAGGTGGAGCTAGCTACCTTTATATACTGGTAGACATTTCATCTATAAAACTGAGTAATATTTTATAAGATGATCTTATGTCTCTGCATATAAAATCTTACTTTACTTATTTTACTTTACTTTGTCAAGTTTTTTTTTTTATACACAGAACTTGAGAAACACAGGACTGTATGTGTTACAGTGCACCTGTGCAATGTGTGTGTTATACCTTGCTGAAGTCCACAGAACTGTTCTCTCTACTGACATCCCCTTTCCCATCTGAACCCGCTAACTGGGACTGGGAGGATGTCATCTGACCTGGAGAATCAAGACAGGAAAGTTATGAATCAACTGCAAAATGTTCTCAAAATTTCAGCAACTGATGATTTCACTAAATATAATGAGACTGACCTATTATACAGACTATCTCTATAAAGGAAAACATGAGAAATGGTCACACACAGAGGGCAGAGGCCAGCTTTTACCGGTGCTGTTGTGGATAAAACCATACAGATTTTCATCACTGTTGTTGTCTCAAAAAAAAAAAAAACCCGGCTCATGTTAACGTGATTACTGCCAAACTGCCTGACAGGTCTGGCCTAATTTCTATATTCGTTCAACAGCAGGGCCAAAAATTAACACAAATTATAGTGTTTAATAAGCTCACAAAGCATGACGTGGAGATTATCAGCAATTTTTGCCTCGAAATGAGCTTGATTTCCAGTAAACCAGAAAATGTAACAAACTGTTTGTTCTGCGTAACTAATTTTGTCATGTGGAATGTTGGCAAACCTGAAGCTTATAAAATGTAGTTGGCATTGATATAGGCAAGTAATGCTTCCAAATACGAGCCTGTCCTGTACTAAATTCAGCCCCAGAATTCAAACAAATAGTTCTTACACTGTGAAGATCAAAAGCAGACACATTTGCATATTAATAGATTGTACTTTTGAACATTGTTTTTTTTATCTTCAACCACTCCAAATCAACAAAAGCAGCCTATTTGGGGTTGCCAGTATCACCAGAAAATCAAGAGAATAATCCCCTCTACAATATGTTATTTAAGTATAAGCTGGTAAAGGGGCAAGGGCATACTGTGTAAACCAGCACCTGTTGACTTCAGTGGGGCTGCGGCAGGTGGGTGGGCAGATGGTGGGTGGTGGATAGAATCAAGAATGAAGAAAAGATGGGAACATACGCAAGTTAAGACCATATGCTTATAAGACACATACACATATTGCACATTCACAAAGAATCCTCACTTACAGCTCTACTTGGGACCCCCTCCTCACAGTGAGTTTGCATATAGTATGTCAACATGTTGTGACCAGTTCAACCAAAGACTCATTTGACCTTCTTAGAATGTTTTATTTAAATAATTATAAAGTGACCAACAATTCACAAGAAAAAATGCTAATTTAGAAAATCGTTAAAGATATACAGTATATTTGATGGTTTCACAGCTGTCCCCTTTTCCTTACCATTCTTCTCCAGGTGGAGCTCTGATGTCCGTCGACCCATGTCAGCAATGGAGCGTACAATCGGTAGGCGATTTGCCAGCTTCTTCTGGTTCTGGTGATGGTGCTGCTTCAGGAGTGTTTCACGCACTTTCTTTCTGAGCTCGTCTCCCAGTGGTGAGTATAGCTCCTGGTGGTCCAGGACCATGTCTGTTGTGGACACAGACAAACCATTTAGATACGTGTTTCAGGGTTCTGGCTGAGGCTTTTGTCCTGTGTGACTTGAATTTAGTGCAAAGAAGGATTAATCTCATATTTGCGGATTACAAACTGCGTCAAACAAATCTAAGGAGCAGTGTTAAGAAAACGCATGTAACCTCTGCAGTATGTGAATTGGGAAGTTTTGTTTTATTTACTTCGAAATGAGCTTTACAAGATTGAATAGTAAGACAATATTTTCTAAATTAAGTTGACAATAACTGTAATTTCGTCATTTGCTACAACTGTCTCAATACAGTATTTACCTGCAATCTCTTCAATAGTATTAGCCCTCATGTCGAGCAGCACAGTGCTGTTGATAATGCAACTTCGCAGCTCAAACAGGCTGTGTAGGGACAGAGTGGCTACGTAGGGTTTACTCCATCGCTCTCCTCCGTCCTCTACATCCTCCTCAAACTTCAGCCACCTGTAACAGAAGTTTGAGAACCAGTCAGGGGAGGCCAGCAGACGGAAAACTGGCGGGCCATCTGTTCTAGCTGCAATAACAACACACATTCATTCTAAGTTCCCCCACCAACATACAGCTTCTCTCTCTCTCTCTCTCTCTCTCTCTCTCTCTCACTCATTTACTCCCCTTCCGTATTGCTGCCTCTCATCAGGGTATAGCTATAAATAAAATGTGTCTGAGTTACCATTTTAACAGAAGGCCATAATTTACATGATAAATTAATTCTACATCTTGATTTACATTGACAATTATCAAAGAAAGAGCGCAACAAAAAGTAAACTCCCTTAGCATTTACAACAATGAACAGCAATTACTTAATGTAATGGAAACACAAACATTACACACACAGCTATATTTCTCATCAGTATAAGTGGGATCATGGGAATTTCCCGATCACTGTCCATTCAATCAGAGCTTTCAGTCATGTAGGTCATGTGTGTAGATGCTACCTTAATGAGATGACAGACTAACAGTACCTGGCACTTTCCCTCCACTCAGAGTCCTCTCCGTCCCTCACACAGATTTCATCCATCTCTGTAAAGAGGTCGTGAGGAATATGCTCCTCATCATCATCCCCAGTGCCGAGCAGGAACTGCACTCTCTGGGAGGGAGTGTCTGGGATCACAAGGGATTGCAGTGAGTGGCTTAAACAGGAATGGTCATGCCAAGGATCTTAAGAGATAATTACCAAAGGCATGAATATATTTATTATATGCTACAATGCATGCACGTCCATGATTGTGGCCAGTACCATAAGAAGGGGACTCTCTACCCTCCACCAAGGTGAGGGCCGGGTCCCTGCTCCTCTTCCTGTGTTTGTTTCCATGGTGATGGTGCCGGCGATGGCTGCGGTGTCTGGTACTGCCCAAGGGGACATGGACCCCGATGTAGAGAGTCCTGTGGCCTGGGGACGCATCACACAGTGGTTAGAGGAGGATCAACTGCAACGCGTTTGTTTGTGTGTGTGTGTGTGTGTGTGTGTGTGTGGGTGGGTGGATGTGTACTCTATCAGGAGCTTTACAGATAATCATTATTATTTCACTGATCACAATTTGGCACTACTTCTTTGTTACTCCATTAAGCTTTATATTATTTATGCTACACCCTGATCATGAAAAAGTTCCTTTTTAATAGTGTACAATCATCTTGTCTCCAAACATGTATGAAACTAAATAGGACATATTATCTCTTCCGGGTCCTTGCCATTAAACTATTATGTAGTGTGTTCATACTTCAAACTTTATCAACATTAATTTTATCGACAAACAATTAATACATAACTAAGTGTGTGCAAATATGAATTAAACCTAATAATTAAACCTTTTGTTAAAACAACATGTCTTGTTTTTGGTTAGCAGGGGCATATATTTATAATATTATAATCAAAAGTATACAAAATTAGCGCTGTACTGGGGATGAGTGATCTGATAGACAAATATACAAACACATTTGACAATTTGTATGGCATGAAACTACATAGTAATGCAGTGAGATATATATGGTAAAGCATATTGCATGATGTGTGTGCATATGGCTGTGAGAAGGACAGTGTGAATCAGTTCAAATACATGATGTGTAAATTGTAATGTTGCAATTATCTAATAATGAGGGATTTATGTTCATATCTACTATTCTTGTTAGTAAATTACTGTGCATAAACTCAAAAATAAAAAACGTGTGTGTGTGTGTGTGTGTGCATGTGTGTGTGTGTGTGTGAGAGAGAGAACATGTCTGTACAGTGCTCTCCAGGATTATCAGTGCAGCTATGCCAAAATGCTGGGTATATGCATAACAAAAGCAATTAATTAAAGTCTTCTGTAAGCAAAAGAAAAAATTTTAAAGTTTAAAACCAAAACATGCCATTACCCACTGTGTATGGGATGTTGTTCTGAATATAGTCAATTAAAAAGCACTGTATTAGTTATTAATACCTACCATTTTTTTATTTATTATTGGGCAAATCCAAATCGGGTTTAATACAGATGCATTCTTTAAAGAAATGCGACACAGTGTATAACCTTTTTTATAAGTGCTTACACGTCTCAAAAGTTTTCTCATGTGTTCAGCATAGCAATAGCCCGACTTATTTTGTGGTTTCAAAAACCAATAAGCCGAAGCCTTTTTATTTCACTGAAAAGCTGGATATTGTTCTCTGTGTGTGCAGATACACATGGGGAAAGCTAGTGTCCTTCAGTAACTCAGTTGTACTGTTTGTATTTTTGTTTTGATTGTCCATGTTTTTCAGTGGTTATGAAATTACTGCTGCGAACTCAGCACACCCACAGTTTCTACCTCCCACTCTGCTCTTGTCTTTTAACTATGAGAAAGCTGTCAGGAGGAAAGCAGTAGGCGGACGAAGCAGCAGCAGCAGCCTTTCAGTGCTTGAAGCTTTTTGTTTTCGAGATGCAATCAGTGTTCGTCCAGGTACCTTCAAGATCTTCCTGCCCAAAGCTGGTTCCCTGTTGGGATCTTGTTCTTCCTCTGTCCAACACAGCCTCGTCATCATTCCTCTGTTGGACACATATGGTGACAAACAGACACACACAAACACATATTCAGTATTATAAACACTAATCAAGATCACAGGGGTACACTCAACAGCACAGCTGGAACTGGAACATGAAACAATATATCTAAATAAATAAAATGTTTGTTGACTTGGTGTTGCCTCACAGTCGAGGTCATTATGAGTTATGAGTGAACTTGAAGGGAGGGAGGTGTTACATTTTGTGTGTAGTGTTACAACAAAATGTTCTCAATAAATAAGAACTTTTTAATTAAGACATTTGGACTTATCGTCCAATTTATTGTTTCCATATTAGGTTTATATAGAACACTCGGGTAACAATACTATTACACTATTCTATGCATCTTAAAGAAATAATATCCAGAAGCACTTTATTTAAAACATTGCATGCACCTAGAAAACTTACACTGTACTACACAAAATATATCATCTTAGTCCAAACAAAATGCTTTTCCTGTTGGGGACCATAAATTACCCACTTGCAATTGAAGTTTTTCTTCTGTTCAAGATGCTTCCTTTGTAGTGTTGCTACTTTGTTAATGGCACAAAGCACAAAGGGTGAATCACTGCTCGACTTCCTACACGAAAAGTTACATATTAATTTATCTAGCTTGTTGTTTTGTTTTGTTTGTATTACTTCTAACTGGCTGTTTTCTAGTAAGTTTGGTGGGTTTTTTTATTGTACTATCACTGACCTGACTTCTTCTACCATGCACATGTATCACACATATAACACACATAACAACAATAACCCTTGTGTTGTGGTGGCAGCCCGGCTGACGGTGAGTGTCCTGGTTTTTTCTCCTTTTTTATCAGTTTTTCTGTTTTTTCCTTGGTTTTCTGTTCCCTGCCTGCCTCCCTGTGTTTTCTCCCCTGTGTGCTCTCTCTCCCTCTGCTTCTGAGCCCAACCAACTACCTACACCTGCATCTCATCAGCCACCTCGTCAGCCTCCCACACCTGCCAGTAATCATCTCATGACTGCCTGTATTTCAACCCCGGTTCTCCACACCATCCTCGCTTGATCGTCGTTGCTCCATACCCGGTGCCACCCCTATGTTCAGGCTTCCATGTTTCTTGTTTTTTCACAGTTTCCCTGTGCCTTGTCGCTGTCTTCCCTAACCCTGTCTCTCTGTCTGTTTCCCTCCCAGGTACACTCACCCTCGTCCTCCGTTCAGTCGGCTGGGCTCATCCACTGGCCCACTCCTCCTCGGACTTCCCTCACGGCGTCCTCCCTGTTCCCCCACCTCTCCTCGCTTCCTCGGCCCCTGTGTTCCCCGGCTCCCTGGCCCCCTGTCTCCTTGGTTCCCCGTGCCTGTGCTTTCCCAACATCCACCTCTTCCTCCACTCCAGTCCCTTTACCCATTTCTCCCTCAATAAACCTCCTTCCCTCCGAACACAAACTTTAAAATAGGGAAGTGACAGAAAACAAGCATAGAAAAAAGAACATAATCCTCAGTGCCGAGCATTTGTCAGATTACAAGAGAGACTAATGAATGACCGCTGAGAGATATCCTTTCCGGTCCTACAGAGCCGGGAGGTTGATTATCCTGTCATTGTACTGGACACCTGTTCCACGTGTGACAAAAGTTAATAAGCAGTTAACCACAACCAGTTACAATTTTTTGACAGCTCAACAAGAGACCTGTAGCAGGACATGCAGACATTGCCATAGCAAGAGATGGCTTAGACCACATGGATGTGTTTGATTAGATTCAGGTCAGTGAGAGAATCAGCATTCTGGGTGTGAATGCCGGCCTTCTTATGTAACACTCGTGAAAGAAGATGAGAGGGAGTAGGTGGTGAGAGTGAACATAAACCATCATTTTTCATTTAACATAATAAAAATTCAACACCAGCTTTGACCTCTTTTCTAAAAACGTTTTGGAGCTTTTCAACAGATGAATTCTGAATCTGAACACCAAGACACTTTCACAACTCATTATGAACATTCACAGCTAAATTATACAGCCTCAAACAGTTACTCTAATGAAAGCACCAGGTCACCACTGTACTTCTTAAGGTTGCTCTTTAATAGTCAGCTAAAGCGTTAGTTGATGAGAAGAGTCTTAGTCGGCCAAGTTTTCAATGGTTAGTTGGCTGCAGAATAAAACAACCTCAAACTCCATTTGGGGGCAGAAAGAGAGTATCAGGGGAATTGTCATAACACATACCTTTTCTCTTGTAACACGGAAGTCACGTACCAGCATTCATCAGATTACTGACTGCTCATAGATGTATTTATTCATAGACATATGACTATTAGGACTGAACAATTATTTGAGAAGTAAGAAACCAAAGTCCAGAGCCTCTAACTGACATAATTTCCCCATGTTGGTTATTTCTGTTATTTAATCCTGTTAATTTTGTGTGTTCATGTAACTTTGTTTCTCCTTGAAATATCCTATCGCCTGTGGTCACGTGACTCCACCCCGTCCAGTCCTGCTCAGCCTTCAGACTGGAGTTAGTGATGATAAAAGTTACTCTGACAGACTCGAATCTTCAAATCCTGTTCATTAAAATTAACTAATCTTTTTTTGAGTCATTTCGTTCATTTCCTTCATTTGAACTAGGCTGGTTATTGCGGCGCTGCAGCCCTCTAGTGGGCGATGGAAAAAACAGAGTAGTTCTCAAACACGGAAGGCTACTTAGCTAGCTTTAACTGAAAAAGTACGATACACAAATTCACCTCTCACCACTCATGGATAGGGACATTAGACTACTGTATGAATGAGCAATTTATAGATATAATGATAGTAATTATAATTATATATACATATACAGTGGGTACGGAAAGTATTCAGACCCCTTTAAATTTTTCACTCTTTGTTTCATTGCAGCCATTTTCCAAAAATCAAAAAAGTTCATTTTATTTCTCAGTAATGTACACTCAGCACCCCAACTTGACAGAAAAAAACAGAAATGTAGAAATTTTTGCTAATTTATTAAAAAAGAAAAACTGAAATATCACATGGTCATAAGTATTCAGACCCTTTGCCGTGACACTCAAATTTAACTCAGGTGCTGTCTATTTCTTCTGATCATCCTTGAGATGGTTCTACACCTTCATTTGAGTCCAGCTGTGTTTGATTATACTGATTGGACTTGATTAGGAAAGCCACACACCTGTCTATATAAGACCTTACAGCTCACAGTGCATGTCAGAGCAAATGAGAATCATGAGGTCAAAGGAACTGCCTGAAGAGCTCAGAGACAGAATTGTGGCAAGGCACAGATCTGGCCAAGGTTACAAAAAAATTTCTGCTGCACTTAAGGTTCCTAAGAGCACAGTGGCCTCCATAATCCTCAATTGGAAGACGTTTGGGACGACCAGAACCCTTCCTAGAGCTGGCCGTCCGGCCAAACTGAGCTATCGGGGGAGAAGAGCCTTGGTGAGAGAGGTAAAGGTCACTGTGGCTGAGCTCCAGAGATGCAGTCGGGAGATGGGAGAAAGTTGTAGTAAGTCAACCATCACTGCAGCAATCCACCAGTCGGGGCTTTATGGCAGAGTGGCCCGACGGAAGCCTCTCCTCAGTGCAAGACACATGAAAGCCCGCATGGAGTTTGCTAAAAAACACCTGAAGGACTCCAAGATGGTGATAAATAAGATCCTCTGGTCTGATGAGACCAAGATAGAACTTTTTGGCCTTAATTCTAAGCGGTATGTGTGGAGAAAACCAGGCACTGCTCATCACCTGTCCAATACAGTCTCAACAGTGAAGCGGTGGTGGCAGCATCATGCTGTGGGGGTGTTTTTCAGCTGCAGGGACAGGACGACTGGTTGCAGTCGAGGGAAAGATGAATGCGGCCAAGTACAGGGATATCCTGGACGAAAACCTTTTCCAGAGTGCTCTGGACCTCAGACTGGGCCGAAGGTTTACCTTCCAACAAGACAATGACCCTAAGCGCACCGCTAAAATAACGAAGGAGTGGCTTCACAACAACTCCGTGGCTGTTCTTGAATGGCCCAGCCAGAGCCCTGACTTAAACCCAATTGAGCATCTCTGGAGAGACCTGAAAATGGCTGTCCACCAACGTTTACCATCCAACCTGACAGAACTGGAGAGGATCTGCAAGGAGGAATGGCAGAGGATACCCAAATCCAGATGTGAAAAACTTGTTGCATCTTTCCCAAAACGACTCATGGCTGTATTAGATCAAAAGGGTGCTTCTACTAAATACTGAGCAAAGGGTCTGAATACTTATGACCATGTGATATTTCAGTTTTTCTTTTTTAATAAATTTGCAAAAATTTCTACATTTCTGTTTTTTTCTGTCAAGATGGGGTGCTGAGTGTACATTACTGAGAAATAAAATGAACTTTTTTTGATTTTTGGAAAATGGCTGCAATGAAACAAAGAGTGAAAAATTTAAAGGGGTCTGAATACTTTCCGTACCCACTGTATATGTCTGGTCTGGTTGTATAGTAGTGGCGATTGCATATTGACAACATATTTCTGTGTTTCTTACATGGTTTGAATTTGTTTGCGGCCCTATGGTGCTTCATAGAAAGATGATGGAGAATGATCAAGAGGAAATGAACGAAATGACTCAATCAAAAAGAATAGTTCATTTTAATGAACAAAATTCAAAAGAGTCACTTTTTACCATCACTAATTGCACTGCAGTGAAATTATTTTCATTGTCTCTTATTTTAGTAATTGTTCCTTTGTTTTTTTTTATTTCACATTTCATACTGATTGGCTCCTTTCACAGAAAAAACATTTTGGGCAAAAGATGTTTTACAAAATGGAACTTTATATGTAGCAGCTCTTGTTGATCTGAAGGGTTCCAACCTGTTCAAAACTTTACAAAGTGGCTCAGGTGCAAGACCAGTTAAACATTGTCATTAGGCTATAAGCACGAAAATGTAGAAGTAGCCTATTAAAAATAAAGGTAGCCTACTCAAAGCAGAAAGAAAAATGTCCCATATGACTGTTATACTATTAGCCTATATATCATATCATTAGATTGTTATTCCTCATGCATTAATGAAGTTGGTTGTGGTTTTTTATTAGACTGCTATTAATGATTGTTTTTAGTATTAATCAGCTGATTATTTTCTCCATTAATCGATTGTAATAAATTCTGAAAATAGTGAGAGAGCCCTGCGTGACACCTTGCATGCTTGTTTTGTTAGTCCAAGCTTCAAAATCAATAAAAATACATTAAAATAATAAAACGTTAAAGCAGCAAATCTTCAGGTTTATAAAGCTGGAACCATGAAATGTTTTTACATGAAAAATTACTAATGCTAAATCAGATACCAATTTAGTTTCTGTCAATTAGCCTAACAGATGTAGTTCTACTAGCTGGACTTGTATAAGCTGTTAAGTAATTAAAATTATATAAAAACATCATATTTAAACTCTCTAAAAGCCTATTTTTTAAAGTAACTAGTAATTGAATGGCAAGTTCTGCAATACTACAGTAGGCCTATGTGTACAATATACATTGAGCACTGCTGTTCATTGGGCTCGTTTGGGGCCAAATCTCTTTTTATTTTTGATAGGCTACATTTGTATTTTTGAAATACAATATGTATCAATAGTCTTTTATCAGACTTACATATTTTTATAATTTCTATTTGTTCGGGTCAATTATAAACTATAGTTCAAATTGAACTGCAAATATTTGAGTGGCTACTCCTCTAACATGCGTTATCGCACTCCAAACTTTTGATAAAACTTGAGAGCCCTGCCGTTAAGCCTAGTTCACACTACACGATTTTTTGCCCGATTTGCCGCTGGGCAACCGTCAGGCTGTGATCGGGAGTAAATCAGCGGTCGATCAGCAGTCGCCAGTCAAGCCATGTGTGAACTATACAATGAGGCATCAAAATGGCTCCCCAACACATTTCTGACACATCGCCGACGTCTGCCAAATATTTAGCATGCCAAATATCTGGAAGAGTCGGCTGACTCGATATCCACATCCAGCCAATGAGAGCAGGCAGCAACTTTTTCACCGCTGAAAGTCGTGTAGTCTGCACACGGCATTAGATGACAGGCAATACAGATTTACAGCAACTCCAGCCGGTGTTCTGTCGATTTAGGCTACCTAACGAGATGTGCTACTTAGTGGTTATGCGCATGGCTATGATCCACAAGTGTGTCTGTTTCCATGCCCATAAACCTTGTTGTTGGGCATGCAGTCGAGACAGTGGCTCATCGTCAGCATAAAAAAAATCATTATTAGTCTATCAGAATATGCTGAAATGATGTTATAATATAATCAACAGAATATATCATAATACTGTGAGAGTTATGGGATTGGAAATGGGAACACATAAGGTAGCATTTTTCAACACGCCAGAGGGACTTGATTGACTCATTACTGTCCCCTGACACAGTGGGTGTTTTTCTCCCAATTTTTTCACCACAATGAACCCTACCTGGCACAATGACTCCAACAAGACTGTCTGGCACATAACAAGAAAGGGTGCTTTTAATAACATTATAATTAGCATTTTAACATGGTAAAAGAGAGAGTTATTGGGATTGATCATCTGTGGACCATGTAGGCCTATGTCTTTTTAATTGTCATGAGAATCCAATAGTTGTTGATCTCTCACTTAGGACCAAAGTGTTGGAGTGAAAAAAGTGTAATTAAAAACAGACTGTATCCTATAATTACATTTTACAATTTAAGCCACTAGCTGATTAAAAAAAAGAATGCATACATAAAACACTCAGTATGCAGATCTCTGCCAGGTGTGTCTTGGGGCATGTGGGTGGGGAACGGGGAGTGCAGGGCAGGCTGTGTGTCCAGTGTGCTTAAGAGTAGAAATTTTTTTGTATAATAAACTGAAAGTTTTCTTATTGAGATGTATGCAATGTTTTCAAGTGTTTTTGTATATAGTAGTCTCAGTGTTCTTTAAGATAGATAGAATAGTGTAATTATTGTAACCAAGTGTGTTGGGTTTGCCTAACTTAATAAGGAAACAATGAATGGGACAAAAAGTCCAAACTTCTTAATACATTCTTATTTATTTATAGCATTTTGTTGCAACACACCACACAAAATAAAACCTCTAACAAGTATGGAAGCAATCTGCAGACGCTTCAGTTCAAGATGAGTCCAAGCTTTTCAATGGATGTCAAAGGCCTGCAACAGACTATGTAAGCCTTGTTTTTAGCGTAGCTCATTGCCTTAAATGCCTTTTGCTACATCATAACACATATTGTAAAATGGCGAATACTGTTTTAGGATATTTAAGTTTGAGCATAAGCTGTCAATAAAATAGGTTTTTCAAAAACTATATTAGTAAGGAAAACCACCAACACTTCAAACATTCATCCATCAACTGATCTGCTACAATGCGTGCTGAACAATCTCTCATGACTACTTACTGGAGCTGAGGACCATACTGGTGTTGATTAGTGCACCAATGGTGTGGATTTAAGAAAACTCATTTGACACTGGCTTTTACTGTAAATCACAGGCAGCAAGAGATTAAGAAAGCAAAAACAAACAAACAACTGCCTGTGCTGCTGGAGAGATTGCTGCAGAACCAACCCTGGCTCCTAGAAATTACGATCAAAGCACTAACTAAAGTAGATATTTTTATCCTGAAAGCTTGCTTGATATCAGCTTTTCCCTGAGCCATCTTGACCACCAGTTGACAATCGAGGCATTATGATAATGAAGGGCACTGCTGTTCACAGCTGCAGCACCACATGGGCTGGCCAGCCCACAAGGCTGATGTTGATAATCTGTCTACAAATATACAGGGCATGGGATCAACATCCCTGCTCAGATTAAACTGCCTGTATTTGTTACTAAAACACCAGCCACATTAGCCCATTGCACCATGCTCACATACAATGGTTTATAAAAACACTATTTTTTTACAATTGCTAACAAATATTTCTCAATAATGTTTACACTTTTTCAAAAAAGTGCACAACCAAAGTCATTGTGGACTAAATAGTGAGGGCCTATTACCATTCCTTTACAGTTTATGAAAGACTTGTGGCAGGTGACAAAAGAGTTCAAGTGATGTAGCATATGGGACGATGTGGCATTTCACCATTCTCTTCTAGTCAGAGTGGTTTAAAGCACATCCCTGGCAACACAATTTATTCATCCTAACTCTCCATTCTTCAACCCCATAGGTATAAGGAATTATATACATCCATGAGGAATTATTTTCCACATGGATGTGAAAAGTTTATGGCCACTGAAAGTCCACATGATCAGATGCCCCTGTTGGACGCAATGAATGCTGCATGTCTGGACATATCTGCAAGGGATTGCCAGAGATGGCCTCAGATGTGCAAAAAGATCCATTCCCAGGTGTGTTGCAAGAGAGGACGTAAGGTGTGATGTGGATGAGAACTTGTGGCCAAATGCAGAAGGCAGGGTTGATTAACATGGCATGTCGGTAAAGAGAACAGAAAAGTTCTGAAAAAACTTGAACTTCGTATATAGAAATTGTCAAAAACTGTAATGCTAATGTAATGATAAATTGCAATCTATTCTGTTCCCTGCCTGAAGGCAATGGTGTGTCCAGAATTTCTGACTTGGCTGGGAGGACCTCATATATTTTACAATTATATTCCTTAATAAGTGCACTAGAATCAAGTTCCACTTGAAGCATCTGGCATGATGGTTCTGAATAAAAACCAGATGATCAGACTTATAGACAAAGCTGTTTGCTAGGTTTGCTGTTTTTGTGCAATATAATGCAATGGGATGTTAACACATCCATGACAGACACGAACAAAGTAGGTTCTGAAGAAATACAGGAATCCAAAGATAAGTATAGTGGTCCAATTAGGCAAAACTACACTCCGCTAATAATCATCGACTCACCAGAAAAATCATGTTGAGGGACTGGCAAACCACACAGCTGAAGTGATATCACAGGATGTGGCACACACTTGAATCTGATCCCTACAGATGGCTGCGGCGATTTTGTAGCCATCAGTGGCAGCAATATCATTAACTGCACAGGCTTTCGTGTGGCACTGTAATCCTTAAATGTCTCTGCCATAAACTTCAGCATCCTGTAAGAGGTCACATCGGCACTAATTTCCAGAGCCGCCATTTAAGGTGTTTTACAGCTTTGAGCCCTCACTTAGTATTTGCAACCATCAACTGCAAGATGGATCAGTAGTAGTTAGCAGGAAAAAGCTCTTTTCCAGTTTGTTGTTTTCTGGGGGGGGGGGTTGCCAGAATATTATGCTCTTTTTGTACACTTAGAGAGAAGGGTAATTGTGAAATACACCTTGCCCTCTGTTGATCACATATCAATATGAATATTTCCTCAAAGAGGTACTTCACGTCAATAAACAAGTGATTTCGATTGCCATAATGTTACAACAGTGAAGATGCAGATCAAGTCTCATCCTACCTGATATTTGAAGAGCCAAGGAGCATCCAAGTTTTCAGAATGCATGAGCTTTCCCTCTGTTTCCTCTGCTATATAATCAGCTAGACAGTGTGCAACACAGTCTACAGGCATGAGCTCTGCAGTGCAAACTCGTGCTGCCCTGCTTCACACCATGCCTGAAATGCTGGTGCCCTTCTGTTGTGTCAAACAACTGTCATTTGTGATTGATCTATCGGCAGAGCTATAGTGTCTCATCATGAGATTATATCTCTGACATCATCGCTGCTGCACAGCAGCAAGAAAAAGCTCAATTTTTACTGTGCCTCCTCTCTTTCCTCTTTTTGTTAAGTAAAGCTATAGACAAGCTTGTCATGTTGCATCAAATCAACTCGTGATTCAATGTCAAATCAACTTTGTCAGTCTATGTACACTTTGTCATCTAAGACCAAACATTTACCTCATTTACCATACAAAAAAATTTAACATTTTATAGTTTGATCCTCATAGTGAAATATGTAACTGAATGTAACTCACCAAACTTCTACGCCCAACTGATGAACCAAAGGAAGAATTGATCTGAAAGATAAAAAGATAGAAATGTTATGTGTGTGTGTATAAATACACATATATATTTATATAAGCATAATCTATAAAGTTACAAGTTCACATTTAAACTTTTTTCCCCCTCCAAATCAGATAAAGATTAACTCTGACATGTTATTTTTAGATTCTTAAATGTTCAGAGACTTTTAAGGCCAGGTCGCTGCCTTACATTTTGAAACCAAAGCGACATGGCTCTAAAAGTATAGTACGAGAGCAAAGAAACTCTCAGCCAAAAGCCTGTCAGTCTAAAGCCTTCTGCTAAATGGAAAAATCTGTTTTGATGTAAACAGCAAATGGGACAATGACAACAAATCTCCTCCAAAGTGTTCAGCAAAGAGCAATGAGGATGGGCCCACATGTCTCTGAGAACATCCCCTGAGAGGCTTTATTTTCTTTTATATCACCAGGATTACCAGACTTCTCCAGAAATACTTTTTGTGAAGATAACTGTGAGAGCTAGCTGCCTGAGTATGCATTTGTACAGCTTGTAGCTGTGCAACTACAACATCATCCCAACGTACATAACATACATACAATAAAACATAAGATGACACAAGGTCACTCCTGTCTGAATTTACCATATTTATAGGACATCTGTCACATCAGGGATTTGTCATATATTAAAGGAGATAACATAAAGTAATGAAACATCACTGCAAGGGTAAATGTTATATAGCATACTGTAAAACAGCATCAGCATTCTCATACATTAAAGAAAAGCATGAAAGCCTAGTGCTGTTCAGAAACTTTCACATTCTAAAGGTTAAGTCACATGTTGGCTCACTAAAATAGATTGAATAAAATGATCACAAACGATGCAATATCATATTGCAAGTTGGCATAGGTACTGTCATTCATCTTCATTAGCAAGACAAAGTCCTTTTCTTAACTGCTCTGCAGTTGAGCTGCCAGTGCTCAAAGCTCCACAGGTGGAGAGATATCGACTCTGCTTCTAGCATTTCAGTACATAGATTAAGCTTGACAGTGTGGATTTTTTGAAAAGGACGTCCTGATAGATGAATCTACATAAGTAAATCTTTGTCCCAAGAGATCAATGCTCTTTACCGTTGGCAGCAGCGGCTCTATCGGAGTGCCTTGGTCCGTAGCGTCCATCGTCTTCTCCCAGCAGTGCACCGTATCGGAGAGATGGAGCAGAGACCTCCGCTGTGTATAATCCCGGCAGGTGAAGCAAAAACTGAGCGACCACACAGCGGTCACATGTTTAAATCACCGTTGGTCAGCGGCTCGGTGATGATTTGCGCCTCTCGTGCTGCTCTCCTCTTTCATAAAAACATGCGCATCTCTGCACGCTGACGTGGAGGCGTCACTCTTGAGATGTTGATCCTTTGTTTCAGACGCAGAGGCGAGTAGAGAGAGACCGCTTCCAGAGGTAGTGGTGACTGTAAACTAAATCCGATAATCAATGCCCATCGAAATATAGCTGCGGAATGACAATGAGATGAGAAATTTGACAAGGTTTGTGTTAAAGTAGGAACTCACTGACCTTGAGGATGAACCTAGGCCTTTACCCTCGGGTCCAACTCTGGGTGCAGGACTGTTCCAGTCATCCATGCAATGCATTTATATAAGGATAGGTTTAGTTGTACAATTGTATTTGAATTGTGAATTTAAGTCCTTAAAGCCTACGTAGGGCTACACTTTTGTCTGTTGTGATCAGGGAGAGTGTTCAGGCTACTTCCCTCTTTGATGTGTTCATCATGTGTTTTTTAACAGCAGGTAATTCCTTTAACTGATATAAAGTATCGCCATCTGTTCACCACCACGTGTGGTTGAATCCAGAGGCAAACCGCAGTGCGCCCTTTAATTGAGTCATAAATAGAAGTTCGTTTATAGTAATTTTTTTAATCTGTGCGCTTCAGATATCTCATAGCAGCCCCCCAGAGAGCTCCGGGCCACATAATGAAAAGCTGTTTGATTACAGAACCTGCATTCAGTTATCGCCATCTGCTGTTTATCCCTGGGAAGACTTATGCTGACTGTGAAGAGTGAGCATTTACACACTTTACAACACGCTTTATGACAAGCTTTATGACATTTAAATATCACACATATTACTGACTGCTGTGAGCATCTCCCTCACAGTGAAATTCGAATAAAGTATATATTGAGCTTATTATGTGTCCAAATTAATTATATTTCTTAACGTCATTGATTTAATTTGATAGAAAATGCTACCTTTCAACACACATTTTACAAGGGCACGTGTTGTCTTCTCCGGGTCTGTACTTTGCACATTTTCACACAGGCAATACTTTATTTTTGATGTCACTTCCTTTGGCTGCCGAACAGGAAACTTGTCAACTTCACAGTTTTCAACTTTCACAGTGTGTAACTATGAAAAATTAATAATAATAAGTTTTCACCCTCTTTGGCAAAGTAAAGTCATTCCAGCCAAATGTTGCTGCAACAATCCTTATTGTTGAATCAGATTAATGGCAGATCCATTCAGTCAAGCAGGGATTCATAATTGTTAATGACCACCTGGATCGATTTGAATTGTGATGTATATAAAAGTTAGGCTACACATTGACTCTATTCACAGTGCTCCCCATTATTAGGCACCAATTATTTTTAATAATAGCCTAAATAAACTCTTTAATTGAACTTGGGCCATATGGGAGTCTCAATAAATGGACCTTTGAATCCGTGAGCTGTTTTTTTTTTTTTTTTCATATTCTAGACCAATCAGTAGGCTATAAGAGGGACTGTCTCGGCTATCACATGTGAAGAGATATGCGATGCACGAGTGTCTCTCTTAATCATCATCTAATTGGGATAACTTCTAATTGATCATTAAAAATTCTTCATTTCATTCACTTTCGTTTGGAGCTCTGTCATCGACCTTGCTCCACATGACGCGTTCACGAAAAATAGCTACATTAAATTCTTTGTCTGTTTTAAATGCATTTGAAATGCATAACATTTTAATAGCAGCATGATAAAAAAAGATGGCTTACTTGTCCTCATGATAACATCATTTATTACGTTTCAATCACATTACAGCAGATACAGATATTTTCAGAACAGCATAGCATATAGGCTACAGGCTATGAAAAATAAGCGGTTGAAATAAAACATTTTTAAAAAAAAGACTAAGTCTACATTACCAACATTTACAACTTCTTTAACCACAGGTATCATGAATGTAGCAGTGATCATTAACGTCATAAACTTTTGGTAGCCTACGGCTTTGATAAAGTACAAAATACACTTTTTTTTCACTGACAGAGATTATTATGCCAGCATATGCTACACAAGAACATTTTAATGTACAGATTCTCATTATCCTTCTTTACTAACAGTTCAGGCTACTTAACAGAAGAGGCTTCGCTTTTTAAAGCACTACTTATGAATCAGATTTAATCTAATTTGTGTACATCTAGTCACTATCACCAAAATGTTCAATATTATGTACATTATATTCATAATTACAGTGTTTGTTTTTTGTTACTTTGCCGTGTGGAAACAAGGCGCCCAACCCATTACAGAACTGAGTAGTCCGTAGTGGAAGAATTTACACTTTGGCCATTAACTGTGGAGGTGACAGTCTATTTAATCTTTTTTATTATTGATTAACCAGATAGATAGATAGATAGATAGATAGATAGATAGATAGATAGATAGATAGATAGATAGATAGATAGATAGATAGATAGATTCACATTTCATTGTTTTTAACTGTGAGCATAGAAACTGTAATAACCAATGTCCTTTGTGCAGTTTTTCTCACACTCTCTCTGTGCCAGCAGCTCAGATTTTAATGGGGACACTGTCTCTGAAACCGGCGTGGCAGAAGGTGAGATCCTTCTCCTTTTGGCCTGTTCAAAGATACCAGAATCGCTCGAATCAATTGACTTTATGGAGGACGGCGTCTCTATCCAGCTCGACTCTGACGTTATGTCTTTGGGTTTGGTCTCCTCCGAGCCGCCGATCGGTGACCTCTCTGTCGGGATGGAATCTCCCTCCTCAGCCAGGTAGTTAGTGCCCGCTCTACCGCCGATAGAGTTAGCGGGCCAGCAGGAAAAGACCGAGCTGGATTTGCTATTTACGCCACAGTACTGCGGCGGCGTGCGTCCTCCCCAGCCTGACGGGTCTGCGTAATAGCCAAGAGGCCGGTTGGAGCAGCCTGCAGTCGGCAGGGGAAGAGCCTTCACTCCGGCGGCTGCGTAGGACAGCAAGGTGGCCGCGTTACCGGCGAAATCAGCAGCGTCGTATGCCGAGGCAGCAAAGTCCAGTCGGTTGTTGGCAGGGGTGACAAACCATCGCTGCGGGGGGGTGGCAACAGTGGGCTCCTCGCTTTGCTGCGGGGATAGCAAGCTGTTGCCGAGTGGGACGCTGCGCTCCGTGCCAGGACCAGTCCCCATGCCAGGGTGAAAGCGAGATTTGGCATAAGTGCTGACAAATTGGTCCTGCAGGAAAGAGCTAGGCATGGCATATCTCGCACCCGGCACGATCTGTGAACGCGGAGAGTCACCCGGTGATGGAGTTAGGCGGTCGATGTCGCAGCCTGTGTAGACACTGAAAAGATGGAGAGAAAAACAGAGAAACAATTCAGTAACTAAGCAGTGCGCTGTGCTGGTTCTCTAAAAACCAAAGAAATGTAGGTCATTGTCCATTTCACCAATGACTTTATTTAGTGGGAAATGTTGTAATAATAATGTATAGATAATTGCAATGTTTAAAAACATTTATCGTATCAAGTATAACCTTTATGCAAGTGGAGTATTTGGAATAAAGGCCCACTGCCTTATACAAAGAAAACAAATACGATAAATGCAAAGTTGCATTCCCAAAAAGTTGGCGCTTTGTTCAGAATTTTCCCATCTGAATTTTATGCATCAATATGAAAACCGCCCGTCAATATGCACTTATTGTCAATGCAAGCCAACCCGAACTCACATGAACACACGAGTAATAATGTCACCAACAGAATATAAAGGACCGATTTTAACGAATATTTGGATACTAATGGGTTTTTTTTATCAAATATTTACAAGACATTTCTGGCCTAAGACATTTGTTAACATGAAAATTATAGTACAAAAAACATTCATTTTTTAGGCCCCTGATTCATTTTCAGAATATCATCAGGCCCTTCACTAAATATTCAGCAGAACTATAGAAGTGTATTAAGCTTTTAAGAGGTAACCTGATTGTTGAGCAAGACTTTTTATGGGTTCAACTTACGCAGCTTCTAATAAAACAAAGAGGTTTCGATTGACAATTGTCCGATCGAATACATTTTGTTTAAAGAAAAGAAAGCAAGTCTTACGTGTCATAGTTGTCCCGAAATCCTTTAGCAAACGGATTGTGATCAATTTTCAGTTGCGTAATCTGTGGAAACAAATAATGCATTGATTAGAAAACAAAAACGTGTGTTTGTAGATCAGCGCACTGCAGTCAATACCGAAAATAATATTTCTTATTTAGTATTGAGTCTTATTTTTTTGTGAGAAATCGTGCCAATGGAATGAAGTATTTCCACCCAAAGTCTTGTTAAAAAAGAAAATCCAATTAAAATTACGCAGTTCTACTTTAATTTAGATAAATAACTTAAATGAGTAATGTTTTAAAATGTAGAAAATAAATACTGTTTTTTTTTTTTCAATAATATTGAAATAGTTTTTTTTTTTTAAATGGATAAGAGACTTTTGGGGCGGACATTTGTAGTGATGTGTCAAATATTAAGAGGTCGTACATCGGTATTCTGGTAAGCTGTGACAGCGATGAATTGCGTTTCTGTGAAGGTGAAAGTCTGGACTCTTCCTGGTTGGCTGGTGTCTTCTGTCCCGTCCTCGTTCACTTCCACCACATGGAGCCGGGGCTGGTACTTGTGGAGAGACTGAAGAACCACCATCTGGAGATTCAATGAAGGACGCACGTCAGGAAAGCCAGCTTCAAACGTTGGATAACTCAGTACAGAAAAAAATTAAACTGATTTAGCTCAGTTTATCGTTATTTTATCATTATTGTAATATCACTGCACTACTGCTGTTGCGCCTTAAGTGATACAGCCAGTAAGAGAGTAAAACCCCTCCAGATGGAAAGTAATACTTAGGCTGTGAATAAACAAGAAAGAAAAGTAACTGGTATTATATAAATTTTTTTTAAAATGTCACTGAAGCATTGGATATGATGCATTACCTGCCCCGTGTTGTTGGAGGCACCTTTGTTGTTTGTAAGCTTTAGCTTTCCAAATGATATTTCTTGACGCATCCAGTGCGCACCGGTATTTGGTGAGTCCGGGTGCATATAAACCCTGTTTCCTAAAAAGAAATCGCAGATAAATAAAACACACAATATATGGTTTATTATTACAAATAAATTTGTTTGCCTGAATTTTTCAAATCAGATGGGTTTTTTTAACCACATACGGTGATCAAAATAGATCAAAACAAAAACACAAAAACTTTTATAATGGAATTAAAAATGTTAATTGTGCAATAAACCGAGGAATAAAGGAATCATAATACCTATTACATTCGTGTCTGCTTTCCCACATGGCACCCACTTGCCTCCTTGAAATCGCCAGTGATTTGGATCAGCGAGTATTACATCCACAAATATATTGTAGTGTGCAGTTGGGTCAAGGCCAGAAATGTTAAAGCTTAAAAATGGGAACATTCGTCTGTGGAAGATAAAGGAACACAGATTTGGAAAAACGCCTCTCATAAAAAAAAAAATATTAAAAAACTCAGATTGGGATAATACATGTAAATGTTTAACAAACAAAAGCTTTACTATGATGGAGCCAAAATGTCCTAGACTAATTCTGCAGGTGCATAAGAGATAAGCCAATGTGCGCGCACTCACCGTCCTTGCTTTGTGATGATCATCTCTGTTTGGTGTCTGTGAAACTTCAGCCACAGGGCCCTGTTGCACAGATACACCTGCGCTTTCCCTGGAACCAGTCCTGCTTGCGCCGAGGAGAACTGGTAAAAAGCCCCTCCTTGGTAAGTGTGTCCATACTGTTGCGCGTAAGGATAGCCCGCAGCCGGGTAGCCTTGAGGAGAAGTATTGGTCAGAAGGCTGTTATAAGCTCCATTAGTTATGACCGGGTGATGAGCCATATAACGGCTGGGACTTCCAATAGAGAAAGCCGGGTGCGCTGGTCCATGCTGGCTCGGGTAAGGGAACATGGCACTGGGAGCTGCTGAGACTGACTGCGGCTGGGTAGATGGAGAAAAGATGCACCTTTCTCCTGCAGATCCATCGAAATTATGACGGATGTCAGAGACTCCGTGAAGATCAGGAGAGAGTTTGCCCCTCTGGACGTCCCCTGATGCGTCCTTTGAGTCGGGAAAATTGTCTGCCTCTGACTGATTCGTCATCTCCCTAGAGTTTTTTTTCAGAGGTGAACTTCTCTCCAGGTTGTCACTTGCACATATAATAGGATGGTCCTGCAACGGAAGCTCTGATCCATCGGAGCTCGGAAAGCCACTGCCCACATTCATAAATTTCTTGGAGAATTCACTCGCTGGCGAGATGCAATTCTCGACCTGCATAGCTCAATAGGAAGCCACTATTAGCACAACCTATATCACAAGCTTTTGCACACGCCTTTCCTAATCTAGCACTATGAAAACGCCTCGCTATGACTTGAGGTACCGAAGGCAGCAAATTAGCCAATTGACACCATCCTGCAATCAGGAAGGATTTTCTTTCCATCACGCTTCCTGCTTTGCTAATGAAACAAGTATTGCCATTGGTTAACTCAAGGCTGTAATTTAATTAGACAGCTCTTAATTAGGACAATCTGTGGAGCGCTGTGAGCAAAGTGATTTGTTTGTAGGGTGACATGGGCCTATATTTGATTAAAACATATGGGCTCCGACTGTTTCTTCATATTCATATGGACAAGAAAAACACACAAAGGATAAAGATGAAAAGTATTATGGTCATAAAGAGTGTTTTCTACTGTCAGCTGGAACGGCGCAGCTGCGTTATTTACCTATTTATCCGCGTTATTTACCTATTTATGTGCTATGAGTGCCAAAGTATGTCTGCCGAAGAAACCAAGATTTATTATTAACACACCAAAAAATGACAGTCCATGACAGGCAGTGCATCTGATGCCTTAAAATGTTTGTGATATAGCGTGAAATCATGGCGTCCCACTGAAGATGTGTTTATGAGTCCCAGTGCTGGTAAATATTTTATGCCTATAAAGTTATGAACCAGCGGACTGATAACAGGGCTGCTGTTACAAATGCACCTCACAGAAAGTAAAGGGAAATCTTAAAACACCAAATATTTTCGGGACTGTTTTAAATTTAAATGTATTTTGATACAATTTAATAAAATTAATTTCTGTATTTGTGGAGTTATTGTATAGACTGAGGCCAACCCCCCTCATATTAATTAAGTCTCACCGTTGTAGATAATGTGATCTGCCAAATTATATTCAACTAAAAAATTAAATTTGGTGAGAGCCGGGTGCAGAGCAGGTCTCAGTTTATGGTTAGCAGAGATAAGTGCAAAAGAATAAAAATAGAAAAGAGCATGTAGAACCACAAAATGTTCCATCATTTAATTAGACCTTTTAAATCCTCATCGAGGTATAATAAAACTTTGTCAGGATGGTGTTGATTCAGAAGATGAAATAAAGTATTAGAATGGCTACAAGTTAAAGTGACTCATTCCCAAGTGCAGAGAGGGGTTGCACCTTCCTGCTTAACTTACTAACAAGGTTATTATCAAGTTAACACAAACTGATGTAATGTCCATTCCATAATTTTGAGGCCTTTGTAAATTGCACTGGATTTATAAATTTCATTGAGTGCACCTTAACAATAATTAATTCAATACAACCTTTATGAAGCTTATGCTGTGTCACAGAGGTGTTGATTCAACATTAGGGTAATTTATTAAACTGTAGTTTATGGAGATGTATTCAATTGCATTATTTTAAAAGATGTTTCTATGTGTCATTCTCCTGTATGTACTTGTAAATTATTAGAAACACCTTTCACCATAAAGCAGTTCTGTATGACATCACCGAGCATGGCTTCAAAAACTGATCATTTACACTTACCTGAACAACTTTGGGTTTAGTAACAGTGAAGTGTCATTAATCAGCAACTGTGCATCGTGCAATCTGACTTTCACTGGTGGGCACATCCACAAGTTTGTATCTCTAATGAACAGCCATGAATCTCTGAAGCTAACAAGAGAGGTCATTACAGTAAGGCTATAGGGTCCAGCAATCTATTCCTGTGAATCATACAAGCACAGGCTTGTCTGTGCCCAAGCAAAAGAGGCCACTCTCTGCGCTCCTCATTACAGGATTATGGTTCACTTCCATCACTGATCTTTAATAAGCAAAATGAGCTTGCTACCCCCCACCCCCCCACCCCTGAACAAACCAATTGTTGAACACCCGTGCAGCAACTCAGTTTGTTTCCCCAGGTGCTCTGGTGTTTATTTATCAGACTGAGCTAGTGGACATAACCAAAGAGGAGGGGGTTGTTTTGTTATGCTGTGGCCAGCCACATCCCTCTGGGAGATGCAGGTTGGGATCCATGCCTTCTGCCAAACCCGCCATTGACCAGCTGAGCGTAATGCACTGGGTCCCTAAAAACAGTATTTCATCTACATATACTATTTAAACATATAGAAATATCCATCAATAATCTGTGAAAATATAAAAAAACATATAATTATAAAAACATAATTATTGTTCAATGTTCAGTTGAGCATAAAACAATGTGTGGTATTTTTTTCAAGCACTGTATCACCATTTTTTATTGTTGTGCCAAAGAAATCTGCTTGCCACCTGGGTCTAATCTAATCAATGTGAATGACAAGGAGAGAAAAAGCCTGAAAGTGAGCACCAGCTTAGGGACTTTACCTAATGCCCAGTACTGTCACTTCAATGATATGATCACAGCACACAAAATGACAACAAAATTATAGCCAGCAAGGATATGGGGACATAGTGTGCTACTCCAGTCAGGTGAAATTGCTTTTTCCGACTATGAAATGGCTTGTCTCTTGTCGGATGGGTAAACATTTCCTTGTCAGGCCAGTAATAAGGAATGAGGCACACTGGGCTGAACTAAGAGGATAGAGCCAAGGTTATTTGGGATTCATGACAGGTAGTGGCTTATATTACAGCGGCTCTAAAAATTTCATGGGAATGCATTTAAGATGGCCTTTAAGTTATTTATATGTTGTTTGCCAGACGTCACATTGCAATTTCCATCAATAAATCAAAGTGAAGTATTTCTTCCCTTCTTCCTGGCTCTTTGATTTTAAAAAAAGTCAAAAACCTGTATTTACCTTAAGTCTTTAATTAACTAGCATGACTAATCTGATCGAGCGTGGTGGTGGTTTGTGCTATGCAAACATAACGATTGCCCCCTGTGGTTTCCTGCCATCAGTGATCTGCTCTGTCAGAGGGAATCAGGGTGCTCTCTGACAGAAAAGACAGCTGGAGGCCTGCTAAGGGGCGGAGTGGACAGTTGTGGCTTTTAAACCCTTATTAGCTGTCCTCCCTGGACACACCAAGACACGCGTCTACGCAGAAGTGCACTCCTACACCTGCTCATTATTGATGTCCTTTAAGGTTCGCCCAGCCAGACCAGATCCATCCGTGTATCCTTACCACAAAGCTCACAGCAAATTAACCTCAGGACAGGTGATCATGATGTTCAGTGGGAATGCAAGTGGCACGCCTCCTGTGCCAATACCACACCTGAGAGATTATTCACAAAATGTTCATACATGTGCTTCTTTATCTGGAGTATGATGAAAGAAAACAGTGATTGTAGCTTACTAAAAGTCAACAATTTATCTCTCTATTCCTATTCCATTTAATCATTTAAATACATCCTCCAATCACTTTCTTATTAAGTGAACACACGCTTTTTTTGTCAGTTGTTTGTTTATTACACGACAATGGCAGAATGGTAATTAACACACTACTATGGCAATGATAGTGTAATTCTATGGGAGAGTGGACAATGAGCTATCTCCCATTCAAAACAACAACACAAAAATAGAATAACTTAAATAGAGATGATGGTATTTAAAATGTATGCATAATTATGAAGGTGTGAATTTTGTCTCATTCCAATTCTTTATTAAAATAACTATTGTGAAATATTTTATTCCTCTGGGTACTACAACCCCTGAGAGTGATGCCTGCATCTGCTTCATGCTCTCTGATGCGCAGTACTTGGGTAAACAAATGGTGAGGATATAATGCCAGGAATCACAAAGTTTGTGGAAGGGCTAATGTCCCTACGAAAACTTCTTTTATCACCTGCTAGTGACCCGTTATCAACTGTTTGGTTTGTTGCTAGTCTCTTTAAATTTTAAAGAGTCTGTGTGACCCAGGGAGTGCAGTTGGGGTTTGTGACCATTTTGTTATTTCTGCTGCCATGCACTGTCAGACGTCTGCAAGTGAAGAACATGGCCACTGTCCCCAGTAAGCCCATGGCATAAAAAATTCAGACTAACTCTACTTTTTAAGCCATTTCTGATGAAAAGCACACAGAAATGAAACTGACTTATGCCAAATGAATATCATTGAATCGCTGAGATTGTGAGGCTGATGTTTGTAACTTTGAAATTATTTATAAAACATCAGTTCCATTTTAAGAGTAGCCATGCCATGAAGTGTGCACTTTTCCTTTGAGAATCCTCTGAGGTTTCCCAAGTACTATCGGCCTAACTCTGAACAATAAAACAGAATGCTCCAATCTAGTGACTTAAGCTTTGCCTTTTTTGATGCGAGCCTACGCTGCTTAGACAGGCTGAAAATAGGCACTAATTGCCAGTCACAGCTGTGTATTGTTTTAATCGATAACTAGGTCGACATGATGATGATGAAAGCTTAATCTAAAAACAACTCAGAAACTTGTTGTCTGGTTAATCAACATCCAGGATTTTGGTACCTAAATATGTTTAATTATATCCATGATAAACTGGTGATTGACCTGCAGTGGAAATACTTTTAAAAATAAAACACAATTGCTGCACAGATCCCTTGAAAGAAAACAAAATCTTCCGTTTGAAAGAAAATATTTTGAGGAGAATAGGAGCAAACAGGCGACTGTCGTGTTACAAGAATAATCTTCATTAAAATCACAGGCAACAACACCAGGCCAACACACAGCTCATTGGGAATGCAGTGTGAAAAGAGAGGCCCACAGATTATCACTCTACGTAACTCATGTTTAATTTATCCAGGAGCAATATTGTCAAGAGCCCTACCAGTCCAAGGAACTAGACGCTGATAAAAGCTGGAAGAAGACTTGCGGAAGCCCAAAAATAACACAGGCTTTGGGTAAAATGTCGCAAAATGGAGAGAACACACTTGAGAGTGGAAGCATTCGAGACATCTTCGATATGTTTAGCACAGCTTCACAGTAGTGTAATATAGCTGCTTTAGGATTGTTAATATTTCAAAAGATGACTTCTAAATGGAGTTGACGATAAAGTGTTCACACAACAACCCGGCATGATACACAGCACTTAACCTTTGCTCTGATTTGGAGCTATTCTACCTGCACCTTCACAACAGACTACACATTGTATAAACCTTAAATCAAGGCAACATGAGCAGAAAAGCAAAATAGTCTTACATTCAACTAT